AGCACTTCGTAGTGTTCAGGTTCAAGTAATTACTTTTGCCGAGTTGATCTCTGGTCTCTGTTTCTGATGAAACTTGCAATATCGTTACGGATAAGGGTTTATTGCATGACGAGACATTTCTGTCGTCTGTGGAAAGCAATTTTGCAGGATGTTGTCTAGAGAATAGGCGTCTTGGACCTTCCTCTACCTGGCTTAAGGACTCTTCACTCCTGGTTTCTCCCTCATTTGTCTCGGAAAGAAGACTGAGGTAACTGCCAGATTCTTCCTCATTTTGCTCGGAATGGCAAGCATACTCCAGCTCACTGGCTTCGTTGCTTCAAGGGGGTTCTTCAGGACCTTCTGGTATTGTTTCAAGAGCTCTGGGAGGTTGAGTGTCAAATCCGAACGGACTAGTGCTCGGTCCTTCACTATAGAGCGCCAGTTCGGTATAATGGCTGGCCACAGCTGCATTTCGTTCTTTGTCGGTGGCGATTTCATACCAGCTCTCAGCAGTTGCAGCTGTGTGGCCTGTGTGCTTATTTAGTACCTCTCTGTGAAGTTTGCTGTTAATTTTTTCCTTCCAGATTGACGCCGATAGCTTTCGATAGAGGGTTGAATTAAGGATCATGTTTGTGGAACCATGTTGCTTTGGCAAAGGTCTCGCCCAGTTGTTCCCGTAGCTTTTCTGATCAAAATCGTCATGTGTCTCAGTGGGCCTCAATGGCGCAAACAAAAACACATGTTCACTCTTCATGTGGATGCGAAGCTTGGCAAATTGGTCAAGTAACTTCATCTATTGGTCTGTGACAGGTTGGCATTTAACTCCCTCGCAGTTGAAGTTCTTGTGCGTTTTCCGGAGTAGCTTCTGAATTTCCGCAATCTTGGCTCTCTCGCCTGGTCCCTTCTTCAGATTGTGTAGCACTTGGGAGCCAATTCGGTGATATAAAGCTCTAGATCTTTTTAGTGGTGACGGTTGTCCAAGTACTTCGTTCTGAACAAGCTTTTTGTTCCACTTCTCGCAGAATTTCGGAAAGTTAGTGGAGCCATCAAGCTGAAAGTAATTTTTTTGAACAGCTTCACTGATACATCTGAGAATGTCTCTTTGTCAATTCCTGTTCAAGGAAACTAACTATTGTTGCTCGAAGAACTAGAAGATTTTTCGGCTCAGGTAGTGACTTGTTTACTTGTCTTCGGCTTCTACCAGATCCTTTCTCTAATTCTCGCAATGATTTAGCTTTGCTGCGCAAACGTTCAAAATGATTTTTTTTGGAAACTTCGAACTTGGTCAACCAAAATTTGATCTACGAATTTGTCAGGGTTCATCAAAAAGGTTTAGCAGCGACTTTGATGCAAGCACTCTAGGATATATTTTGATCCAGTCGTCAATTTTTATGCCTTCTGTACAAATGACCATCTCTCGCAGCCTTCGAGTTTTACCCTTTAGATTTGACTTGTTAAATGTACTGCTTCGTCCGGTTCCGATTTCTCTCTCTCATTTTTTGATATTTATCTAAAATTTTCTTCTAATTGAAGGTTTTCTTTGTCAGGTATCGGTTTTCTAATCCGAATTTTTTTTCAACCACAGCTTTCTTCAAAATGGATTCTTGAAGCTGCCAGACATTTTCGATTGTGATCCACTCTAGTTTGTGATTTGTTTCCTGCTTCTGAGACTCGGACTGGGGTCTGTGGCGTGATTTTCTATCAAACATAGAGTCACAACGGACTCAGAATGACTGCTTTCTTTCTTCTTCTTCGTTTTCTTCGCCTAACGCTTTTTCCCCGCTCTTCTTGCTAGTAGTCTTTTTTCGATTAGCATGATCAGTATCGGAAGCTTCGTCAGCTTCAAAAAAAGATTCGCCTCTTCTTCTTGGGGGAGGTCTTCGTCTGAGATGTGAGCCAAGGGGTCCCTGAGTTTATTCAAGGACTGAGTGAATTGCTCGCCCATCTCTAGGGTTTCTTCGTCAAACTGGACGATCATGTACGTTGAGCCTGGTAATGGTGCCTGACAGTGCACCCCTTGCAAGAGCTTTTTCATGTCTTGGAAACGAGACATGTGACGAAAAAGTGCTTTCGTTTTCCTTGAATGATGGGTGTCTTTCCCTTAAAAGGTTTTCTGAGCACTGTATTTGATGATTCACCATCTCTTCAATGTAAATCATGGGGAATTTATAACTTGAGCATGTGAAGACAGTACCCTCCTCCTCAATTTTACCTCTTGTAACTGGCTTTTCACTTGTGTGCGGCAGCTCGTCCTGGGGATTTTCTTTAGTCACGATTCTCGTCACCGTTTTATAGTTCTTATTAAGGAACAAAGGTTGGGGCTCTTCCTCACCTCCTTTGGGTGTGTTGTTTGCTTCATCGTTTCTCTCATCGCTCTTGCTGATGATATCAACCGGAATTGACTCAGTGTCTAAGAGTGCCGTTGTTGTCGAGTCTTCTTTCGGGTTGGTAGGAGGGGTGGTGGCGATGGCAAAGATGCTGTCTGGGAAGAAGTTTGATTTTTTGTGTCCTTTGAATTTTCTTCTCTCCATGGCATATACTCCCCCCGTAATCATAGGTGGCTTCTTCGCCTGTCTTTATCGGTCGTAGGGCAATGAACTTAATCTGTTTCACTGATTGCTTGTCGACATAAAGCTTCGGGATTGCATTCGCTAGGGACGGTATACTATCATTTATATAGCGAGCTATTCCACTGTCGCTGCTTGTTGCGTCAATATACAAGTTGTGGGTTGTAGAGACAAAATCATACTCATTGTCTCCAATGAACTTTCGCTGTTCGTACTCAAATTTTGTAATGCGTTGCCGTCTTTAAAATAGTAGGAAGTCGCCTTTCTCAAAATCCTGCTGCGCCACCAGTCCTTTCCCTTTCAAGTCATTAAAGTATTCAATTTTGATTTTGCCAGGGGGATCGCAATCAAGGTATTCGTCTTCCGATTATTTCTCAAACCTTTTTCGTAATCTTCTCACCGCCATTTCAAATCCGAAGATATCTTCTGAAATAACAAGTGGAGTGTTTTTATTTTCAATTATAAAATTGGTTGATTCGATAACTTGACTTGGCTTTCGTCATTCAACAGTTGACTTCCCAACTAAGCCCTTCCTACTCATACTTGATTTTCTTTGAATATTATTTGGACAAAAAACGGTTTTACTAAGTAGTCCATTCATACGCCGCATTTCTATACTTTAAACGAAAAGCTTATGATATTTTAATGGTGTTTGTGAAAATTGAAAGAAAATTTTGAAACGAAAAGTGATTTGAGCATCGAACTTAGAAAACGACAGCGAAAATTTTTTTGAAAAAGAGAAAACCCGAAGGAGAAAGGCAGCTCAGATTTATGATTTTTCAACACTCTCTATCTACTTATCAGCACTCTCAGGTTCCTTAAATTAATGGTGTTACTCAAAATGAAAATCTGCCCCTTCCACAGCCTGAAAAGCTTTTGGGTTGACTTAGATAAAAATTTTGTGGAAATCGGATATTTTTTTGCAAAGTTAGAAGCCTTCAAAAATGGCCCTGAATCGCTATTTTTTGGTATTTTTGAAGGTTTGTAATTTTTTTTTCATATGCTCAAATTGGCAAAAAATTGAAGCCAATCATTTTCCATACCATGCCGCACACCCTCGCAATTTTTTTGAGTCAGTCAAACTTTTTTTGTTAAGTTATGGCCTACCAAAGTTGTCAAAAAAATTTTCGATTTTCACTCAGAACCAAGTTTAAAGACCAATATTTTTTGAGTGCTTAAATTGATTTTTTGATTCTTTGTAAAGTTTTAACAACCTATGGAGTGTCCTTAAAACCAGTCTTATGAACATCGGACCATTTTTTGCAAAGTTATGAGCCTTCAAAAAAGGCCCTGAATCAGGAAATTCGAGATTTTTGTCTTTTTTGGAGGTCCATAACTTTTTTGGTCGAAGACAGCACAAAATCCAAAAGGAAGCTATGCTTTAATTATCTACTGGCACAGTGTTAGCTTAGTATCTTGTTTTTTGACAGAGATATTGAGTCCCAAATTTGCGACAAAAATCGGAAAATTTGAAAATTTTGTCATTTTTTTAGAGAATTTATAAACTTTTTTGAAGGCTTTATAGCTTACTGCGGTTTGTTGCAACTTGAAAAGTAGCAACTTGAGTACCCTTCTCCCAACAACTCACAATAATGTATGAGTTTTGAATGCTTTGTCGCAATTAAAAAAAATTGCGAAAAACCATTCGTTTACTAGCCTCTAAAGTGACAATGATGAAGGAAGCAACTGAATTTAAAATAAATAAAGCAAAAATGATGTTTTTTTTTGTAGTAGGAATTGACAAAAAAAACACGCGCGTTGGATCGGATAAAAAAAATTGACCGAAAAAACCACCTCTGGATTCCACTTTTGATTCTTGGAGCGTTTAAAATCAGTTTTTCGGACTGAATACGAAGTTTTTTTTCCCAATAGGGTATCAACTTGTGTCTATTGCCAAAAATAGAAGTCCCAAGTCTCTCAGACACTGGGAACCCTTTTGAGCCGATGCCTAAAAACGAGGGCTGGCACTTACCAAAAAGTGACTCGGCTAGGCTTGCTAGTTTGGACTAAAAGTTTCGTTTTCGAGGTTAGGTCATTTCATAAATTAGAGCTGAAAATACGATAATCCCAAATTTTTGAATTTTCGTGATAACATTCTTAGAATAAATTTCAGGAGCAACATTTTTTTAAAAAACTTTGTTCGAATTAATTAAATTAATGAGGTATCAAAACCTTTATTTGATTTTTTTAAACGACGAGGCTTCTTACTTTTTAGAAAGAGATCTTTTATCGTGTGTCAGAAAACGAGGTGTTCTAGCTTGTCTTCATTGTTTTGTCGTTTGACTCAGGCTTTTTGTCGTGAGAGATTTAAACCTACAACCTCCAGAAAGACGAGCTGCAGTAAAATTACCTATTGAAATGGATATTGCCTATGCTTTTACAATCCAAACAAAATAGAAACTTATTTGTACGCAGAAATGAATACAGGTATTATCAATGTTTTTTTTTCTCCAGGAAGACCTTCCAGTTTGTCTGGCTTCTTTGGCCGATCAGAACTCCTTGGATCCCAATGTAATGCAATCTCTTACTAGTCATTGTGGCAACCTTATCAACCTCTTCTCACAGCTAATAGTGGTGCTATGCAGGAAATGCCAATACCCTCCGGAACAAATGACAAAAGATTGGAGCTCAGACGAACTGGAACAATTGAGGTGCTACAGAATAGATTGCAATGATTTCATATCTAGTTTCCAATCGCTGCTAGGAGTTGTACCGACCGCTAGTGTCTTGACTCAGATATATTTTTCATCCTTAAGCCAAATGGGTGCTAATAACGGTGGAACCTTGCAATGGCAACTCATAGAAGCTCCATTGTTTCTCCTTAGTGGGTGTAGTAATTTGGGCGAGGCGATTGATTGCTCAATTATAGCAACACCTATTCTCAAAACGTTCCCACAAATTATGACATCACATCCAAAAGTAATGGAGAGTTGCTGCGATTTAATTGGCCAATTGGCTCTGTGGATGTGTGAACAAACTGCGCTTGAAGTTAACTCAGATGTGAATGTACTAAATTACGTCATTAACAGTCTGACAAGTTCATTGGAACTGGGAGAGGAGGTATCTTCGCATGCAGCAATGGCATTGAAAGAAGTTGCAGCGGCTAGTGTTGATGAGTTGCACCCTTTAGCTGTGAATATTTTTGAGAAAGTGAAACCTCTGTTGTATCTGCATCCGTTGCCCAAGTTGACAATCTTGGAGAACTTAGTGTACGCTGTCGGAAAATCTATCAGTTCTCTTCAGAATAAAGAGGTTTGCATGATGTATACTCTTTCAAAGGGTTAATGAACTTTCTCAGACCTTTACTTTTGAGGGCGCGTTTGAAACTGTAGGTTCCATCAGCAGTATAATGTCATGTGCTTTGACATTTGACAGTAAAAAGTTAACACTGTTGATGCTTTTTTCATTCATCGATCGAACCGAAAATAAAGCTAACTGTTTCTTGAACAGTATACATATTAAAATCCCATTTCAGAAGTTTTCAAACTCTGTATGCTTCGCCAGAAAAATCGTCGAAAAATCGTCGGAATGGTTAGAGTGATATATCAAATTAAAGCCCTTTTAGCCCTGATTTTGAAATAAATATAAAAAAATTTCCAAACTTTTTCTCAGTATCGAGAAAATAGCTTCACAAATTTTCAGTCTCAGTACAATTTTGAGCGAGTAATGCGAGCGAGCAGGCTTATTGAAGGATAAGCCGTTAAGCTTTATTTTAACTCTTGTAAACTTCGAGCCGTTTTGGGTGTTACAGTTTTGAATTTTTTCATGTTTCTTTTTTCTTATCATTTTTCCACAAAAACGGTTGCCCACTTTGCCATTTTTTTGTGATTGTCGAATATGCACAAGTTCTAAGGCTTTCTTCAGATTATTTTAAATCGCCATCGCCAACTTGTCATCGGGAACTAGATTTTTTTCCCGTTAAAACTTTTCTTACAAATCTTGCTTGCTTTTCTTCCTTGCTATATTACTGATCCTTAGCACGAGACTTCTTCCCACTTATCGGGTGTGAACGCGATTGCCTCATACGCCGTTTTCTGGGTTTCGACTCCCTTCCGTACCTTGTTTTTTTTTCATTGTGTATCAAATTGAAAATGTTTTTGGGAAAAATTGAACTGGCGGACTTTCGTTTGTCTGCTTATGTTTGGTCGGTTTAGTTGCCACATCGCAGAATTTTTGTGGTGTCAGCAGTTTTTATCCTAGATGCAAGTGTTATATTATTTATTCATGTAATTTGTATAATTAAGAGCCCTGACGTTGTATATGTTCTTTTTTTCCACTTATTCGGACTAAATATTTTCGGCCTTTGTCTTATCGGCTTAGTTGCCTTAATTTGTGTCGCTTATTCGGACTAAATATTTTCGGCCTTTGTCTTATCGGCTTAGTTGCCTATATTTGTGTCGCTTCAAAGGCAAAAATGAAATATTTTTCGAACAATTCAGGTAGTTTGTATTGCAAGATTCCAAAGTTTTAAACTGAATTGGTCAAAAATTTAAAAAAAAAACTGTTTCTTGAGGCATTTTCTTTGTTTTCGACTCACTGGGCGTCTACTTACTTGTTGTTGGCTTAGTGACCGCTCGGTAAATTCTAAAAGCTTATTTAATACTGATGATCATGTTTTTCGACTGTTTTTCTGAACCTCTTTTTAATTTCCGTCTCATTTTTTATTCACTAGCTTGCTATGATACTTTTGCTTTGTATCGCAAAGGATGCGAAGCTCTGCTTCGACTTTTTGTAAACTTTTCCAACCTTCTGTTAGCTTTGTTTGAAATTTTTGAAATCCAAGTGTAGACAATCAACTTAATTTGATAATGATGGAAGGAATTGTCATCTGCTCTGATTAATCTGTTCATTTTTTCTCTGAGATTTTAGGAATAGTAGAATGTATTGTATCTCTTATTGATGAGATTTCATCTAACATTTTACGCTCCATGTTTTGGAACTACTTAAATCCCCCTCTCTAAAGTGTCTACTAAAGAATCCCCACCCCTCTAAAAAGAATCAAAATTTATAGTTGTCCAAACAAGGCAGAATTTATACCTTGAAGTTCATTTCTTTTTGGTAGATTAAACAGCTGTTTTCTCTTGAGATTTCTAATTTTCCGACATTCTGATTGTTCCCATGAAGAAGATGAAACTAGATGCTTGCTGAAATTAGATCCCATGTTTTAAACATTTTTTGAAACCAAATTTTTGTTTGTTGGTTTAGGGGACAGTTTAGTTGGTATCTTTTGATTCCATTTGGTCACCCTGTTGCAGCTACGTATGACGTATAATGCTCATAACTTGCTTTCTTATTCCAGATTCTAAAAATTACAGAAGATCTGCTGAAGCCGCACACTGAACGCTTGCTGAAATTTTTGAACTCAGACATCAATGAAAGCAACACAACTGATCATGTTTTTATCCAAGTACACACTAACGCAGCCATAGCAGCTGCTCATATATGGATTACTTTGACAACACAACTGGTGGCGAGTATAGAGTGTGGCCCTACGGAGGATGACGACGGGGAGAGTGATTCGGGAGCTGGGGTCGGGTGGACTAGGCCTGGCAATGAAGTGGATGCATGTATTGTGTTGTTACAAGAGATTGATCCAGTGATCAAATTATTAATGGATAGATATCCAAAGTTAGTGCCAAAACCTGCAATTATTAGTACTAACGAACATAAAGAGAAACTTTATAATCGGGTGTGTTTTTCCTCAGCCAGAAGTTTAATACCAAACTTTGCATGAATCTACATTTTTGATTTAGTTTGACTTGAGAGAAACCAAAAACGCTTGAGCCTGCTTCATGGCCTCTCCATGAAAAAATTGTCTCGCTTACTTCGACAAATAACATCCAATTGACGAAATTCAGAAAAGAAATGAATACTTACCATATCATTCTTAGAATGTGTTCGTTATCGCAAATAGAAATATATATATTTTTTGATTTCACAGTTTAAGAGTAATTAATGTAGTGAAGACTTATATAGATCTTGCTGATCTTTTTTTTGTTTTTTTTTAGGAAAAGTCTAATAACTATAGTTGTGCATTCATACATATTGATGCATTTTTGAATGCACTTAGGTATATATGCATTTTTTGAGTTCAATTGAAATTCATCTGCTGAAGGTGACATAAATAGAACTCTCCAAATACGAACGTGGATTTGGCGCGAAAAAACGTGAACGGTTTCTAGTTTCGAAAGTGGAATTTAATTTAAAGATTTCAATCGGAATAAAAATTTCACCTATTGATCCAGTTTTCTCTAGTTGGGTTCTGTTATCAAAAAAGCATCAATCATAAATTGTTCTAAAAATTCAAACAGCTTTAAGGGCATCATCTATTTTTTCTTTGAAATTCGAAGGTTGAGATTTTTTCAACTAAGTCAGTGTTATTTTTATGTTTACTTGCGTTCATTACTCTTTTCCAATCTTCGATTGGCATTGTTTTTAATATTTGATTAATGTAGCGTCAAAAAAAATGGTCTGAATACTTTCTTGTTTTGGACTCAGTTAGACACTTTCTGAATAGAGGCTGAACTCCAAAATAATTTCTTCTGTAAAGTTAAAGTTATTTTTAGCTATTATTCAAATCTTTCTTTATTTTGTATAAATCATAAATCAGCGTGAACATAACCCTCTGTGCTTTTTGCACAGAAACTGGTCATCCTTGTTTTGGTTAGAATCTAATACCGAATGTCAGAAAATAATATTTTTTAGCCAATCAGAATTCAGTATCCAAAGATCAGATATTCAGTATTCGAATTAAGCTGGTAAATCAGACTTTTTAAAGGACGCAGATTGGTTGAATCTTTTTTCATCGGTCATTTTGTCATGAAAGTCAATTTTGTCATGAAAGTCAATTCCGATTTCTGTTTAAGTAAAGAAGTGGTTGTGAACGACGTTTGCAGTCTCTACAAGCGCACATACTACAACATCAGACACAGAATAACCCCAGCCAGTTCTCAAATATGCTTTTACGCCATGAAGTTCCTATCCTGTCCCTCGGAAGGTCTATCTCATCCTACAAGTCTGCTACATATCTTTACTACACAAAACCTCCTGCCCGATGTCCAAACTGCATGTTCTGTGATCCAACAGTCTTTTCAGCTGATCACAAAAAACGCTCTGTGTAATGACTCAAACAACCAGTCTGCTCATTTTTATGCAGATCCGGATTTCCTGGCTGAGCTTTTCTACTGGATTGGAGACCTTTTGAAAGAGCGTCAAGAGTCAATGATTTTTCAAAATTCGATTGGATCCGATGACGACTTGCTGTTTTCAGTTTTTCAGATTTTGTCTTTAAATATGAACAGACAAGAGTCGTTAGCTTTTCGGAACTGCATTTCAGCGTTGACAGAATTTGTAAAGCTTTCAGCAACTAATCAAAGTTTAGCCAACATGCAGAAATGTTGCATCGAAGGAATGCCGTTCATCGTGGAAAACATTTGCGATGCCATAACAGGAATGGTTTCAAACATCAATGGTCTAGACGCTTACGCGAATATTCTAGTTCAGCTGAGTAGTAATTATGGACCGGGACTTGAATGTGAGCTGAAAAATTGTCTCGCCAAGAGCAAATATTCGGCCACTCAAAGCTCAGAGGCAGAGAGAGCTTACTTTATTTCAAATGTGCTGAAAGAAAAAAGTTCGAAAGCCAATATGCGGGAGGTGATCGCTAATTTCAACGTTTCGTGTGTAGGATCTCAGTCCAATTCCTTGATCATTACATAAAATAGTGACTGATTTTTTAGAAGCCCTGATGACAAATTACTACAATTGAAGTTGAGTTTTGTGTTGTAGCTGCATATTTGTGAATATTTGTAATTTAGACAAAGCTTAGTTTCGAAACATTTTCTGCTTTAGTTTGTATAGTCCAATTTAATTTCAAATCATTTTATACTTGTCAAACTATATAGGGGACTCTGAGATTTAAAAAAAAAAGATTTGATCAAAATTTTTTATTGCATATAGTTCGTTGCGTAGCTTGAAGTGCGTATTCAAATTTTTATTAGATGCGTTTTTCTTTCGTTTTTTTAAGAGCCGATGAGCGAAGACTCTATACGTCTCGACGATTTTCCTGAAATTAGTTCAGGCTCAAATTTGATTTTTGCGATTTGAATTTTGATTTCTTTTTCAGTTCGTTCAGTTCTTTTCTTAAAAGGAAGGCAAACTCCACTATCGAACAGCAAGTGTAAAGCTCACGAAAAACGTGATGTGCTCCTAGTTTCGAAAAAGGATAAAAATTTTCGGGTTTCCCTGTGGAACAAAAGCTTAAGCTGTTGATCCAGATTTTTCAAATTGGGTTAATTCATCAAAACAATGTCATTCATAAATTGGTTTCAGAGCCTTTTGGCCATATATTATTCAAAGAAATGATTTTGTTTTCTGCTTTGTCTTTTCAACACTGTCTGTTAGTTATGTTTTTTTTTCATTAGGAAGTCGGTTTTTTCCTTTTCCGCCACCACACAAGCATCAATTTTATGGTTGAACGAAATTTTTTTACAAGGTTAATTATGAAGGCAATATATGTTTTGGTTTTGGTTTTTTAATGTTTTTTCTTTTTTACTTTTCTCAAAAACTACTCTCCAAAATCTGAGATTTAGTTTCAATAGAACGTACGGGTTGTGGGGATCTCCCTTGCATTAGTGGTAACGCTCAAATTCACACAAAAACTTATGACCCTCAGAAAAGTCAAATATTTGATTTTTTGACCGTTTTTTCAAACTTTTTGTACTATTCTATCCCTGCAGGTTGAAAGAATTACCTATGACCTAGTTTTCTCTAATTGGGTTAGATTTTGAAAGTAAGTAACAAAATTAGCTGAAAGAACTTTCTTTTGGACGCTTGTGAAAATGGATGCAATTATTAAGTTGTTTTTTTGATTTACTTTTGTTAATTAAGAGTCGATGAACGTAGTTCAGACTCTTATAAACGTCGCGATGACTTTTTTTTTCATTTTTTTTTTCAGGGTTTCTTTAAATGCTATGAAAAAGAAGTGCGTTCAGATTTATATATGCACATATGAATGCCCTTAGGTATATATGCACTTTTTGAGTTCAATTCAAGGTCCTTTGCTAGAAGGTAGGCAAAATGCACTCTCCAATTATGAAAGCTGAAATGGCAGGAAAAAACGTGATCGATTTCTGGTTTCAAAAGTGGAATTTTTCAAGATTTTTGAGCTGAATATAAATTTTTCCTAGAAATCCAGTTTTCTCAAATTGGGTTATTTTAAAAAAAAGTCTCAATTTTATATTGCTCTTGAATTTCAAAGAGCTTCAAGGTCGCATTTGTTGGTATGAAGTTCGATTGAATTTTCAAAAATTAAATCAATTGTGTTTGCTCTTTCTTTGCGTTCAATGACTCCTCGCCAACTGTCTGTTCGCTATGTTTTATTTTTTTTAGCTGTCCAGGCATTTTTACCGTTCTTATTTGATACTCAAACAATTATTTAACTTTGCAATATGGCTTTTTTGTGATATAGTCACTCAACTTGAATTAAAACATTCCAGCATACATCAACGATATTTTCAGCTTATATTCCTAATCAAAATTGTCTGCCGAGAACCAACGCTAGGCCCAAGGCCCTTTAAATATTAGCCCTGGTTGAATAAAATATGTAATAATTGAAAACATTTGAGAATTAGTTGAATTTACGTTATTGAAGTTATTCGAAAATTTATGCTTCTACTTAATGCAGTCTGCTTCAATTAGCTCCAGTTAGTAAAGCGAGTGAATATTGTTAAAAATTTATGCAAGTATTTAATTTTATTTACCCATTTTCTCAAATGCGAAATGTAGTGTATTATTATGGAGAGTTTGTTTCTAACCTAAGTCGCAAATAAAATGCTCATTTGGTGGCAATTATGGTATATTTTAATTTATTCATACTTAAGCTTATTTAAGCATAAACAATTCATTGGCATATGTTGCTGCTTTGTTTTTGGCCAGTGTTAGGTCATATTTGCATGTATTATGAAAAATGTATGGGATTTGTTGTTTTTCGTTTTTTTTCTGCGACGCTTTGGAAAAATTTTGCACTTCTCGCAGAAATTTCATTTCTTCTCAAAAACTACTGTTTCGCACAAAAATGGTACGAATAGAAAAACCGGTTGCTCCTCGTTGTGCCTCCTTATTTTGCTAGTCTTTTTTCGTTTTACCTCACGTTTTACGGCCTTAGAAATTTTCAGTAGGGGAATTTTGGCCTATTTGTTTTGAATTTTTTGATGTTCTCAAATATTTAATGCACAAATCTGAAATGAAGATTTCAAGCAAAAGAATTTATGAGGATCTTCCCTTCTCCCCGTTTTCAATGGTCGGAGCAAAAAAAAGTTGAAAATTATAGCTTAAAATATTTTATTTTTGCTATTGAACTTAATTTAGCGAAGATTTGATCGAATTGAATTTTCCTTCACTTCAATGTCGGTTAAATCTTTGAGTTCGTTTTAAGTTGTTTGCTTAAATCGTTTTAAAATGAAAAACAAATATCACTCTCCAGTAACAAATTGGCTACAAAAAACGCGCTTGTTGGATTCTAATTTTATCCCTGCAGGTTGAAAGAATTACCTATGACCTAGTTTTCTCTAATTGGGTTAGATTTTGAAACTAAGTAACAAAATTAGCTGAAAGAACTGCAAATCTTACTTACGTAAGCGATTATGCCCTTGCGTTTTGATATGTATATATATATATATATATATATATATGCCCGTTGAAAACGTGTTTTTTGGACAGTTATTCTTTTTTCAGAAACTAATTCGCTGATTCTGAGAGTGATAGTTCATTAAAAATAACATAATGTGGCTTAAATTCTCCCTGCGTAATTTGTTTTATCCTGTTATTTTTTGTACTAAAGCTGATATGGACTTCGGAAAAATTCCTTGTTATATGTTTACCGAATTTTTTAAAAAAAGGTTTCATCACTTTTCTCAAAAACTAGCCAGATCTGATTTTAAGAGTTCAAGCTAAAAAATCAGGGTGCGGAAATCTTCAATCTGAAAATCAGGGTGTAGAAACCAGAGATTATTCTCATGCTTTAATAAAGAAAAGTTTATGGATTTAGGAAATTTTGATCAATTTTTGGATTTTTTTGTCGAAACCTTACCAGCCAAGCCTGAGATAAAGGCTATATTTGAAAGCGGGTAGTAGTTCTCTCCTATAAATAAGCGGCTAATTCCCTACTTGAGCAGAGAAACACAAGGGTTTAGCGTAAAGTCCATTTTTTGAAATTTTGAAAATTACGCTTTTCCGTCTCAGTACAATATATGATTAAAAAGGTTAGAACAGGTAGATCCAGCGTTAGCTGGGCCACTAGTTCATTTCCAAGCGACCGTGGCGCAGATGCGAGGACGTGAGACTCCTAATCAACAGGTCGGATTTTCTAATCGGAACATCTAAATAGTTTTATTTTTTTTTGGTCTAATTTTTGATGCAATTCAATACAAACTGTAGCTGCTTTATTGGTGACTAGTGTTATTAAAAATACAAGTGGTCGTGAAGCAGATGTGAAAACGTGATACTTCTAATCTCGACAATTTTTTTTGCAAGGTGTATGTTTATTCTTTTCCTTATTTGACTTCGTTTTGTCTGTTTAGAGCTCAATTTTTTGCATTTTCCTCGCTTGTGTTTGCAAAGCGCAGCTTCGCCTCTGTATAAAACTTTGTTTCATATATAGCTGTGCCTCACTCTCAAAAAGAAAAATTAATAAGTTTTTTCCGATTTTTTTCCCTTATAGTGTCTCAATGGTAACTGGTCAGATGGAGTGATTTATAATAATGAAGCCAGTTATTGAACTGAGTTTTAAAGTGTTCTCTTCGTTTGATCCGTTATATCAGCGCTTCTGGATCTGATTTCGATTTTTCTTTTTTTTTTTTTTTTTTTTTCATCTATTTTGGCAGAACTGAAGTACTCTCTGCTTTCAGATGATGTGATTTGACATAATCGTAAATGTATTTGAACTCTTTATGTCTTACCGAACCATCCGCAAGACATTCATTGACTACTTTACTAAACACGGTCACACTCACGTGCCATCGTCACCCGTTGTGCCTTCATTCCATGACAAATCATGTCTCTTTGTCAACGCCGGAATGTTCCAGTTCAAAAACCTCTTCTTGGGGCAACAACATCCAGATTACCCGGGTTTGAAAAGAGCTGTGAACTCTCAAAAGTGCGTGCGGATTAGCGGAAAGCACAACGATTTAGACGTCGTGGGTAAAGATGGTAACCATCACACGTTTTTTGAGATGCTCGGTAATTGGTCTTTTGGGGACTACCCGGCTGAAAAAGCATGTCACATGGCGTTGGACCTTCTAGTAAATCACTACAAATTGCCATTTGAAAAATTGTTTTTCACTTACTTCGGCGGAGGTAACAACTTACAGCCGGACTTGACAGTGAGGGATATCTGGATATCTCTTGGAGTCCCAATTACTCAAATAGTGCGTGGACACCTGCCAATGAAGGACTTTGTTAGGCCACCTATGACAGATAATTTTTGGGCGATGGGTGCTTCGGGACCTTGTGGAACTTGTACAGAGATCTACTATGATATAAATGGAGTCATGCATGATCGAGAGTATTTCTACGTGAAGCATATTGATGAGCTGGAGGAGATCTGGAATATAGTGATGATTAATTATAACCGCCAAGCGGACAGTGGCAACTTGGTGCCCCTCTCCCAAAACCACGTCGACACTGGAATGGGTCTGTATGGCTGCAGAGTCAGTTAACCGTTTTATTGTCACTTTTCGTCAAAAAAAATAAATGTTTTAGTTCTCAAAGATTTTCTTCAAAGTTAAAATGTTTTTAATGTAATTTTTAGAATTTTGGTCCTAAATTTCATCGTTTGCTTGTGGTTTCTTAAGTGCCAATGAATGTCGGGTCTAGATTTGATTTTCCGAGGTTTGACTTTTTTCAAGCTTAACCTGAATTCATTTACTGAACGGAAGGCAAAATATGATCGCGAAAAAAGTTAATTATTCCGACCATTGAAAATGGGGGGAACTTTATATTGGGGCGTGTTTTAGTTTTTGTTCCGAGCGCTGAAAATGGGTAGGAACTTTGTATTCGGGTGCGTTTTAGTTCTTTTTGATTTTTATTTTTTGTTTTCTTAGTCATTTTTCTACAATTTTTGCCTAATTTTTTAAAATTTTTTTTCTATATTAGTTTTTGTTTTCTTAGTCATTTTTCTACAATTTTTGACTAATTTACTATGACTGTCGAATATTCCTAAGTTTCAATTTTTCGTTCAGATCTTTTTATCACTCCTCGCAGAAAAAAAACGACACTAGTATGAAAAAAAAACATTTATAGTATTTTTTTCCTATGGTCGGAACATTCTGTGCTACTTGCTCAGTAACCGGCTATCCTTGTTAATTTTTGGTTTCGAAAGAGGGTTTGATTTTACAGAGATTCCAGCGGTATAAAAACTTATCTATTGATCACCCAGCTTACGATCATGAAATATTCTGGAAATGCAAAGAGCATCAAGCTCAAGATTATATGTTTGTTCTTTGAAAACCCCGAAATCGAATTTTTTTTTTATCAATCATTGTTTTTCGATTTTGAGTTCATTGACAGTTTTCCAAATGTTTGTTGGCTATGTTTTCTTTTCGCTGATTTATGATGAACAAAAACTAAAAGTTTTAATAATATTGCTCATCAAGAAAAGTGTCAATAATTATGGATTACCGTCAGGTTTCGAACGACTAGTGAAAGTATTGGAGGGAAAGAATTCGAACTACGAGACTTCATTATTCACCCCACTTACTGAATATTTTGAAAACGCAAACGGGAAAAAGATGAAGTTCCTTGATTGTGAAGATGTAGACAAGCAAGCTTTTCAGACACTGTTGGATCATATGAGGTGTTTGAGTGTAGCTATTACAGGTACGCCAATGTTATTATTATTTTCACTAATTCGCTGAGCTATGATGCCTAAGTTCAGATCAATCTAAGTTGGATTGATAAATAATCCAAGACATGTTCCTCATTTCAGACGGTGCATCATTCTCTTCCGGCGGCCGGGGACCCGCACTCAAACAGCTGATGAAAAGATCAATCTGGTTTGCAGAGCGCATTCTCCAAATCGAACGTCTCGATTGGGAGAAAATTGTGAATATAATGGCAGATACATACAGCGATAGCTTCCCCGAAATAGGTGCAAATCAAGAATGCACTATAGAAGAGCTAGTTGGGGAAGACTTAAAATCGCGGAAAAGTTTGTACAGCGCAGAAGAAATATTTAAAAAACAAATTTCTCAAAAAAGTTTCAATTTGGATAGAGTAAGGAAGTTATATGAGACACATGGTTTACCGTTGGAGGTTGCGCGTTTGTTATGCAGAGAAAAGGGAATAAAGTTTTCCACTCATGACATCGTAAAGATTCAGTCTTATACTGCTGTTCAGAACCCTCAGTTTGCATCTACGCCCTCTTTCATTCCCGATCTGATTCCCGTTTATCCCGAGTTCAAATCTTTCATGGCGAAAAATGGAGTTGAGTCACATTCGGTGCTGATCAGGAAAGACTTGTCGTTGGAAGGTGTTAAGATTTTAGCGATTAAGCAGAGAGAAAGAGTTGTTCAAAGTAAAGCGAAGGATGGTTTCGCATCTATTGTACTGGATAAAACGTGTTTCTTTCCAGCCAAGGCAGGGTATGTTATGGAGTTTTCAGCTATTTTCACAAGCTTAGTGGAGAGTTTGAGTTAAAGTTAGATTGTTTGTTACTTCCAATTTTTGTTTTTATCTAAATTTGATTGAAGCTCTTCAGCTCCAAGAATTATTTTAAGGGTCAAGCGTGTTCAAATTTCAAATTGACGTCTTAGGAAGTTAAGTTCTAGCTTATGATATTAGTTAAGAGTTCTGATATGTTTTTATCACCGAAGTTTTTATCACCGAATTTAAATAAGCAGTTTTTAAAGTTTTATCTAACACTTCCCCGTCACGTAATCTTCAAAAAAAATAATCTTTTTTAAAATGTGTGTGGAAAAAACGTTGATTCAATTTATTTTCGAATGAGTCAAATTGCAACAATGAATTTTGTTTACTGAAGCCATTTATTTTTTTCTACGCAAATTTCTCTCCAATTTTTTTGTTTTTTTTTCGGTTTGGATTTTTCTGAGCTACTTGCACAGGAACTGGCTATCCAGTGGCTTTTTTATTCAATCCAGTCTCTAATATCATTTCAATGCTTCGATATTTTCAATGTGTCGCTTATCTTTTACGATGAGTCTCTAAGCATAGTTTATGACACGAAAAAACGTGCTGAAACTACGTGATCACTTATCCTCTCCCTAAAACATTTAAGAATTGATTAGAATGGAGCCATTCGAACTGATTTTTAATGAAAGTTTTTTCTGGTATTTTCCCAAAAAGCTTGAAATTAAGAAAAACAGTGCAAATCTATAAACATGGAGATTAAAAAAACTCCATATTTCAACCAATTTCACTAATTCGATAAACATCAAATTCAATAATAGGAACGATATTCGAAAAGTTAATAATATCATCATATGAAAAGTTTCCAAATTTTTATCTCCTTTCCATTAAATAATTTAGTTTCGTAACAAACGGTCAGCTGTAGACGCAATTGTGACCCCTAATTGAAATCATATAGAAGGACATAGACAATCAAGACACCCTAACCCAGTGCACTTTCCTTGACTTAAAGAAAGCATTTGATACAGTAGATCACTCTATACTTCTGATTAATCTCTATTGTTTTGGTTCTAGAGGGCCAGTTCATCAACTTCTTAAGCAGCAACTGTTAAGGCGTTTATCCGGATTCCAATCTAATAATTCATAACCACATCAAAAAATTAGAAAATCGCATGCTTCAGTTCTGTGGACTCTTTTATCAAATTCGCAAATACTTGTCCTCAAAACCAATAATCATAGCGTACAACGCTTGCGCTCAGTCAGTTCTGCAATATGAAAAACTTGTATATGCTAGCACTTAATCTCATCAATCACATCTTTTGAAATGAAAATTAAACATATCGTCAAAATAATATTTCACAAACGCAAAAACGAGTCAGTTTGCGACGGAAGAGCAAAAAATTAGATATTTTAAGTACATATTTTTCTGCATAAGGAATTGAAATTGTTGACTGAAATTCTCAGGAGATACCAAAGTAGATGAATTTAGGGACTCCATAAAAGATGACGAGATAGCTCGGTAGAAAAGGCGAAATCTAGCAAAAATACCATCAAATGTAAACTTTATTAGAAGTCGATGAACATAGTGATAAAGGTATTAGTGATGGTGTTTTCGTTTTCTGAAAAAGTATTAAAGTGCTCTAATTATTCTTGCGAGAGCAAGTGTCTTGCAATCGGGAACTATACTTTTTATCGTAAACAGCTTTTCTTACAAATCTTCTCTTTCTTATTCTTCTATTCTCTTAAGAGTCGATGAATGTAGTTCAGACTCTTATATAAATCGCGATGTTTTTCAGTTTTTTTATTCAGGAACAGCCCTGAAATTTATTTAGGTTCGAATTCAATTTTTCGTTGTTTGACTTCTGATTTTTTTCTAAGTTCAGTTCATTACTTTGTTGCAAGAAAGGCACACTCTACAATCGAACAGCGAAAGTTAAAAAGTGTCGAAAAACATGATCGACTTTTAGTTTCGAAAACGGAATTCAATTTTCAGTTTTTCCAGCAAAATAAAAATTTACCTATTCATCCAGTTTTCTCAAATTTGTTTAGTTGTATCGGAAAAGTGCCAATCATCTATGTTCTAGAATTTCCAAGAGCTTAAAGGTCATCTTTTTTTCTTCGAAATTCGAAAGTTGAGATTTTATCCAAAAATAAGTAAATTTTTTTTTGCTTAATTGCGTTCATTGATTCTTTTCCAATTGTCTGCTGACTATGTTCTATACTATATAAGCATAAAAACAGAGAAACTGCAGATGCAAAAGTTATCTTTTTTCTGACTTGAGGCGCCCGAAAAGAGGTTCTTGTGGCGTCCTCTCAATCTACATATTTGTAAACCAGTTAATGATAACCTTGTTATAATAATGGTAACCCTAGATTGGAAGCAATTTATTTTTGTTTTATTTCTAAACCAGTAGCCATGAGGTTATGAATTCTTTTTAACAACATCTTAGTAATCAATAAAAAGTTTTTGTTTAATATTTTGTACACTCAGGAGCGTATCGGACAGTGGAACTCTGGTGTCTGATGACTACGAATTCCAAATCGAACGGGTCGAATGTCTAAATGACCTACTGATCCACCATGGGACCTTCAAGTGCTTATCAGACACCGAGTCTGTGGAAGGGCTGAGCTTCAGAATGCAGGTGGACGTTGAAAGACGACTTGCAATTGCACGAGCGCATACTTCAGTTTTAGTAGTGGCGCACAATTTGGCCAGAGAATATGCGATTAAAAACAAAGAATTGAATATAGTGGACGTAGAAGTGGGCTTTGATCGAGCTATTTTGAGGGTTATGTTTGACCCCAGTTTGAAGTCAGGCGTGTATCAGGGACGGAGCTGGGCAGAGGTTGCGAGGACTTGTTCGCTATACGTGGATAAGTCGCATGCTCATAAAAACGAGTAAATAAGCATTTTGGTTTTCAAAATCAATGATCGTTCTTTCCTTAATCAAAATCAAAGGTCTTGTTTTTATCAGTTGACTGAACTCATATGAATGAAAGTTTTTTTTTTACATTTCGTCTATTTTTCTTCGGTCAACCAATTTGTTGATGTAAGAGAGCCAAGGTTCTCCATTTATTTATCAACTACTCTAAACTTTGTTTTTGGTGTTGAATTAATACTTCTGTTATTAGCGTTTGTGGTATTGATCATTTTAGATCTGAACCAGAAGGAAGTTTAGTCCCGGAAGAGGATATTTTCTTCTTCGATGAGAGAGTGACCCCGTTTCACAAACTTATTTCATACCCTTCAGCTACTTACTTTGCTCCGAACCTCAACTTATCCAGCAGGAATCTCGAAAAAGTGTCGAAGAGTCCTCATATCCTCAGCTGTGCGCCATTCACATCGGAGGTTCTGTCTCTTAGTCGTTTGGAAATAATCGATTTCAAAAAATCCAAGGATGGGCATCATAAAGTTTATATTACCTCTGGTCCAGTTGCGGAAGATATATATCAATCAAGCGAAGATGTAGCTGACGGTCTAGGTGCAATTTATGAGATTCCGAATACCACTGAACAAGGGTACGCTTTGAAAGAATTAGCCAGGGGGAAGATTTTATCATTCAGGTTTAGGTTTCTCCTGATGGCGAAAAAAGTGCACATTGCCAGTCAAGCTGGTTCAAAATACTTTGGTCTTTTCAGTCCCGATAAATTCAAATGACTGTTGAGATTCTATTTTCTTTAACTATTTTAAAGTTTCCAAATCTTTTGTTAAATATTTTAAAATTTAAAAGAATTTCAGAAAATTTATTTCAAATCTGAGTTTTTTTTCATTAATTTAAGTTTTTTTTCAGATGAGCTTATGGCTTTTGAATGGCCCTGGCAGTATTCGTTCCCGCCTTTTTTCACTCTCCAGCCCAATTTAGAAACTCGTAAGAAACAATTAGAAGCCTGGTGCTCTTTAATCCTAACGTTCTGCAAGCAGAAGAAAATATTTACTTTTGACGTGACAGAAGCGCAGACCAGTGAACTGTTCTGTAATAAGTCGATCAATAGAAAGCTCTCAAACGATGATTTGATTTTTGTGTTGGAGACGTTAAGAAAGAGAGGCAATTTACACTGGAGGGATAAGAAGAAAACACACTTTACTATAATTTGGAGGACACCTGATCAGGTTAGTTGAAATTTGATAAGCTGGAATAAATTGTCAAATATAGCCTTTTAGTCTTATTAGCTTAGTGATAAGACCTATTCGTATCTTTTTTGTAAAGTAAAACTTGATATTTAATGTCGCTCAAGTTTTAGCTGCTTACTCAAGTAAACGTTAGTGTTATAATACGAGTTAATAAACTAACTCTCATAAATTTGTGCTCAACTTTTGTGCTCAATTTCAATGGGAAGCGATTTTGTAGCAGGTGCTTGAGCGCCTGGTGTTTAGTATTAGATATTGTGTAAACTATATACGGCAGCTAGGACAGGTGTCTCAGTCAAAAAGACAAATGCTTCCTAATCTAGAGGCTCAGGATTTGAATCCCGTAGTCGGCGAAATTTTTTTCGATTCTTGGTATTTTCCTGCTGCTTAGAGTCTCCCTTTGCTCTTTTTTTTTTGCTTGTGCACACGAACTACAGCTTCGCCTCTGTGTTGATTTCAGAAGCAAGATTGTAAACTCGTTTTCCAACAGATCCAAGGCTTTCGGTAAATTCGCCTATGAGGATGCATATTTTCGTGTTTTGCTCAGCCGATCAAGAGGAATAGCGTAACAAACGAATTTATTTCTTGTTAATAGGTCACATTATTGAGCCCTGTAATTTCAAATAGTTGTTCACGGATGCGAAGTTCAATTTGTTTGTTCAATGTAAGGATGTTAATACCTGCTTGACCATTTGTAACCCGGTAGTTAATCTCGAAAACAATAACATATCAAATTTACTATCATATTTTAGTTCACTGGCCCTAAATAACAAAAACAAAAATCTTTTTACTGTTGTACACTGATATTTGCATTATTCTTGAGCTAAGCAATGTGCCTGAAAAACAATGTCGAATTGTGCGTTAAGTATCAAATAAACATACTTCTACTCTACATATAAAGATACATAAAAAATGAAAAAAATTTGTGGTCCGTTTTTTAGGTCGACCAGTTTGATTTTCCGAGCTCTCTGAAAAAACTGTAAGGACCCTACTTTGTCAAAAATTTTCTGCGCCGCAATTTTTTTTTGAAAAAAACGCAGTTTTTTTTAAATAGAAAATGACGTTTTGAGCACTTTTTAAAAAAATTTGACCAAAAAAATGCCTTGTTTGGGCGCGCGCTCCCCCTCAAAATTAGTTTTAATGGCGCTAAAGGCGCTTTTAGAAGTTTTTTTTTCTTCATGTTTGCTAGCCCAAAATGGATCTCGTGAAGTTATACCAAACGGGACCCTTTGGAATAGTTTGGCTAGCAGAATTGACGCGGGGCACGCTACTGCATATGCCGGTTAGATAAGTAAAAGCTAAGCTTGTTCAAAAAATGATACTTAATGACAAAAAGGACTAAATGACAAGGAAGTGCGAATGAAAAAAAGTGCACATTTATCCCATTTTTTATGGTTCAGAAACTTTCATTAACATTGAGCTTAGGGCCCATTTTAATTGAAAACTAAATGAAATTATTCAAAAAAAACGGGCTCAATTCTTGACACCTAAAAGAAATGAATTGCAAAATAAATTTAGATGTCACTAACTCCTTTTATCCAGCCCTCCCTCTTTTGCTCAAAAACAAATAACCATTGGCACTCCTCGAGTCGACAGGCTCATACATGAAAAATTTCATGGTTGTGCAATTTTCATCCTAGGAGTTCGGTCACAGTCAAACTCATAGTTTCTTTTTAGCATCATATGTACTAATTGTATTGTTTTCCAAAAAAAGAAACGAAATATACTTGGGACTAATTTTTATTCCTACCATGTCACAAAATTATTGGAATAAACTGTAGCTTTTCCTTCAGTTTTTTTGTCAAGAAAAGAAAGCTCGTAGAAACAATCTCAAGAAAGCGTTTTTTGTGGTATCTTATCATTTGAAAGCCTTATTTAAACATATGATTCGCTTCCAAAAATTGAAAAGTTTGTATTGATGTCCACAAAATTAGGAAATAGCGGTAAATTTAGCGAAGATTTTTCATATCTATGTTGAACTACTTGTACATTTTTACTACAAATAGTGCTTGCTTTCAAGAAATGCATGAGGAGACTTAACGGCTGCAGATTTGCCACTTCTTAAATATTTCGATAAATTAAAATATATATTTTTCTGTTTTGATTACGTTGATGAGCATAGCGCGTATTTGTTCGAACCTACTTTTTTCCCAACCTAACTCGCAAATATAGGTGCTCAATTTAGTGGCAGTTAGCTATAATCACGAGCTGTTTTATTGGAAATTTCATAACATCTGTTCTCTGCTTTTTTGCGGCTAGTGTTCGTCGATCGGTAAGCGTCCGCGTCTTACTAATTTGAGGCTTTATTCTAATTGTTCCGACTTTTGCAGAAAACGGATTATTTATGCTTGGGAATATTAATGTTTTTATTCAGTCAATTTTCGGTGATCGAAATAATAATTTTTGACAAGAAATTTTTATACCGCATTAACAATATTGACTCCCTGAAATCAATTATAAAAAGATATTTTACCTCCGATCAGGGATTTGGGAGTTTGAAAATTGCCAATTTGGCCATGCTCTGGTCTATTTAATGCGCGTGGTGAAGATTTTATTCATAAAACTGAGAGCGGAACTCGATTTATTTATGCTTGGCTAATTATCCCGCACAAAAGAATTGTTCCAAATTGAATTGAGGCTAGCTAATCGGTCGTATTAATTTCGTACAACTCAAACTTTTGCACTTCGTGTTTGATTTTGTCCAAATTTTCTAGTTTCAATATTTTCCCCCAAAAACGGGTATATGGATTAAGGGACTGTCGGAACATTAATGGCTTTGCCCTGATATACAAGCAGTCTTGTTTTTCTTATTTCACTTTAAAGAGCTGCTTTTTTGTCGTTTTCTCGCTAGTGTTTGCGAAGCTCAGCTTCGCGTCTGTGTCGAAATATTTTAATGATACTTTTTAATGTTACTGTGGTTTCTTATTCTGGCCAATTTTGGCCTTAGAAATCATATTCTTACTATATAGAAAATTGCGGCGTGTTCAAGGTTTGAAATTAGTTCGAAAATCGGGATTTGAATTCAGGTAAGCTAATTGATCCATTAAATATCCACCAGACTAAATCATGCTTCATAAACTCTAAGAAAGTTCGTTCTCTAAATTTATAGCTTTATCAAATTTTTCTTTTGACAAAAACTTGAGTCCACTTTATGGGAAGTTGGATTATTACGAGCAGTTTTGGTTATCTTTCAAGTGCTTGGTTATTTTTTTTGCAATATAAGCTTTGATGATTTTAGTGGGGAACAATTTTGTACGAGTGGGCTCAGAGAACAGCGCGACTGAACACCGTTTGCACGATATTCGAACTGACCAATGGAGTCGAGACTACAGAAGAGGAGTTCTATGGACTAGATGACAGTCTCATCTTGGCTAGTTTGAAGACCCTAGAAGCGTCTCGCAAGGCGGAAATAATCGATAGAGACGGAGTCAAATTTTTCCCGTAACGGATTTCGTCGATTTAAATTGTATCTAAATCATAGTTTATTTTTCTGCATTCTGTATCTTGTATATGAGATTGTTTTTGCTGGTGACTAGTAGCCTAGTCACTAAAATTTTTGACAGATTCCGATGTTTAAGAGAAATGAACGTAGGTCTTGCAGCTTTTTTTTCATAAAAAGTCTTAAAAAATTTGTTCACGCTAAATTTTAATTTTGCGCGGTTTGACTTGTGATTTCTTTTCAAGTTCAGTGCGTTTCCCTTGTTAAAAGGAAGGCAAGGCAAATTCCACTGTCGGATAGCAAAAATGTAAAGGCCACGAAAATTGTATAGGACTTCTGAAAACGAAAGTGGAATTAAAAGATTTCCCAGCGAATTAGAAGTTTTACCTTTTGATCCAGTTTTCTCAAATTGGGTTAATTTTTTTTAAAAAGTGTCCATCATAAAATGTTCTACAAGTTCAAAGAATTTTAAGGCCATCTAATTTTCAAGTCGGATTTATTTTCAGTTTCCTTGCGTTCATTACTCTTTTCCAACAGTCAGTTGGCTGTTTAATTTTTACTGCTTTTCTGAATCAGTAAAAAAGACCAGACCGCCTTTCTCGTCAAATCATTTTCAAAAGTTCCGCTTTTAATAACTTTTTTAAAAATACATATAATGTGCATAAAAATTGGTGTCGAAGTACCTAATGATAAGTTTCGAAAGTACTTTAAACACAATTTTTGCATTTTGTCGGCAAATTGCATTTTGTCGGCACCCAAAATATGATCAAAAGTGGGACGCTTTGGGTCAGTAGCGGATTTAGGGGGGGGGGGGGGGGGGGGGCGAAGCGGATGTTGGGAGAGCTCGGAAAATCAATCAATTTGATCGACCTAAAAAAGTCGACAAAATTTTCGAAATTTTTTTGAAAATCCGCCCTCCCCCTCGAGAAAATCTTAGATCCGCCCCTGCTTTGGGTGATTTGAAGAGAGGGTTAGTCCGCCTCACCCTAAATCTGCTACTGAGTTGCTGGTTTAGTTTGTGTATATCTAAATTTGAACGTCCGCACGAACTCAGCGCTCTAGACGTGGAACATTTTATTGCTTGTTGTTGTCCATGCGATACTTGACTTCAGCAAATAGATAATATTCTTAATTTAAGTTGTATTTTCATTATAGATTGTTTTGAATCAAGCTGAATAGTGTGAGGAACTTCCCAATATTTGAGGCCAGGACGCAAATTGACTCATCAAAATAATAGTGCTGAGTGCTACAAAACTGCTAATTATTGGTGAGAATAATTGTATCTCCTCGTATTATTTGTAACTCTAAACTGCCATCCGAAATTGAGATAACAAAAGCTTTATAAGGTTAATATAATTCTCATTTTTACGGCACAACTTGACTAATGCGGATTAAATCCTGTTACGCATAGTTTAATTAGTCACTCAGAAAGTTAATTTATAAGAGGTTGGTCGGACTTAATTCCAATACAGGACACTTGTTATTCACAGATATTGTTAGCCAGGAATTTGGTTAAATTCAGTCATTACTCCTGAGTTTGTTCCAGTTACTGACACAGGTCCGATTTCCCAGATCCATAACAAAAAACATTGAATTAGAAAAGGAGTCATGTCTGACAACGAATCCAACAAGCCCGCGTCGGAATCGGAGGAGGAGGAAGAGTATGTGGTGGAGAAAGTGGTGAAGAAGCGACTGGTGGCTGGAAAAATACAATATCTCCTCAAGTGGAAGGGCTACGGGGACGAGGACAACACGTGGGAACCCAAGGAGAACCTGGACTGCCCGGACCTCATTGCGGAGTTTGAGACCCAAGAGGCGGCTAGGACTGCTAAAAAGGTACAATCTGTTCAATCTGCATGTTTGTGGTTTTCTTGTAGTGTTCAGTGGGCGTGAGCAATGAACTTTCAGCCATTGCATTTAAAAACGACTGCTTCTTCAGTACTTCAAAGCTATTTCGGCTTACAACATCGGCTAAACTAACAAAAAACTGGGTCTTAAAAACTTGTCTTAAGGTTGTTTTTTTTTGAAATTATTTTTTTCCGGCTCAAGGGCCAAGGAGTGTCTGCTCAAAAGTTGTCGTCGGCCTCGCAAGTTTTTTTTGATGCTAATTTAACATTCATTTGTCTTAATGAACTTAAGTTTCATTATGAACTTAATTCAAGGCAAATCGAAACGAAGTTTCAAAACATTTTGACCCGTGTGGAAAAACAAGGAGATACATGATTCTCAATGTAGCGAATGCTTGTAGTTTTAATGGTCTAAATTATATTTTTAGATGGGGAAATAAAAGGACTTCAATTGTTTTCTTTGTGATCTTTTGTCTTGTGCAGATTTGGTAAGTCGCAATGTAAATGTTTTGTGGCAATTGAAATTAGCTAGTTTGAGTTCTCGAAGAAGTTTTAATCCAATATGGCTTTGTTTCATCAGAGTGAAGACAATGATACTGATGATGAAGATGAAGCTGAAATTGAATCGAATAATTTAAGAGTCGAAGCTGTTAATTGTGTGTATCTGGTTCAATTGGACCAGAAGATACCTGGATATTTTGTGCGTGCTTGGCGAAGGTTCTTAGGGCATTTCATATGGGAGGAGCCAAAGTGTGATATACCGGTGACTAAACTGCACTGGTTCGATGCCGATGAGCTTGAGCGTATGGGAGTCGATGAAAATGGAGTCGCGCGTCAAAGTCCATTTAGTTTTGTTGGTCGATTCCTTAGTCGTGTGTTTCAGACCACGAATAAGGAAAACACGACCAAGGCCGCAAAACCGAAAGACTCGGGAGGTAACAGCGTCGGCAGAGGTCCCGGCAGCGGCAGTGTCAAGTCTGGCGAGGTGTACGGATTTGACAGGAAACTGGAACCTGAGAAGATCCTAGGAGCTACGGATGCGGGAGGAGAACTGAAGTTCCTCATGAAGTGGAAGGGAAGTGATCAAACAGACATTGTCCTGGCTAAAGAAGCTAATGTTAAATGTCCACAAGTTGTCATTGAATTCTACGAAGACAGATTGACCTGGACAAATGACCAGGACAAAAAGTAAACAATCAATTGATCGTACTAGACTTGCTTTTCTTCCCGCGAGTGTTTCGATGGATTTAATTTACCAAAAGTGATAAACTAACCATTTTTAGGCGAGATTTGACCATGAATAATGGCCAAAATTATTAATTTTCCAGCAAAAACCCATTGGTTTTAATACTAACACGTGTTTCGACGTTTAAGATTAAAACTAATACTTCTGGTCAAATTTCGTTTCCATTTGATGTTTGCTGTTCCTGATTTATTTAAATTCCCGGAGCTGGCAATTTTGCAATTTTTTCATAGCTCTTTCTTTTGTTTATATCAATTGTTGAATCTCTTTGATTGGTCAAGCTATCTGGGTGCAGTTTTGAAGAATAATGGAATTTATTTTACCTTACCGCAAGCCGACTTTGTGTGCGTTTTAAATGTGCTCTTTTTGCAGTCACAAATTCATTTGATGAACGAGCAGAATCAACTGCTTTTAATAGCTCTCGTTTTTTTGAGCTCTAGGTGAAGGCAAAGAAAAGAGGAAGAAAGACGAGGGCAGAGGTAATTCATTATCCAATAAACAGCTAGATTTGATGGGCAAACCCAAAATTTATATAAAAAAGTAAATTTTCACGATCAACGAAGGTGAGGAGAAACATCAGATCGAGGTGTCTTTTTTTCCTCGCGAAATCGAGCCTTACAAAAAAGTCTGATTTAAAAAATACAGCCATGAAAATCATTTTAAAAACTCTTTCTGTCTGCAATTTGAGCTGCGAAGTTTTTTTCAGACTAGTTTGTAGCGAAGAGCGATTAGAGCTGGAATCACTCCTGAATTACCTCGTCACAGCCAAGTTTACCTCTGTTTTTCATAAGCTATTATTAAGAGTTGATGAACGTAGTGAAGACTCTTATATAGGTATTATTGATGTTGTTTTCGTTTTCAGAAAAAAGTCTTAGAGTTCTCTAATTATGCTTGCGAGAGCAAGTGTCTTGTAATCGGGAACTATAACTTTTTCCGTAAACAGCTTTTCTTACAAATCTTTTCTTTATTATACTTCTCTCCTCTTTACACAAGCAAAGCTGTTTTTTTTTCGAACAGATTGGTACTGCTAATGCGTCATAATTGGCTTGCATCACTTAGCAATTACGTTGACTCATAATTGGCGTTTTTCACTTACGAAAAATTTTGTAGACACGAAGTTTTAATCATTCAGTTTTTCCCAGTAGCGTTATCGGTCATATTTTTGCTTGTGTATGCGAAGTACAACTTCGCCTCTGTGTTATTATACTTTTGTTCTCTTAGTAGGTATTAGTGATGTTGTTTTTGTTTTCAGGAAAAAAGTCTTAAAATGCTCTAATTACACTTGCGAGAGAGCAAGTGTCATGTAATCGGGAACTAGACTGTTTTCCGCAAATAAGTCTTCTTTTTATGATTCTTCTCTTTTCTCTACAAATCTTTTAAAGAGTCGATGAACGTAGTTCAGACTCTTATATAGGTCGCGATGAATTTTTTTTGTTTCGTTTTCCAGGAAATTTATTCAGGCTCAATTTCACTTTTTCGTTATTTGACTTTCGATTTTAACCGTTCAGTTCATTTCCTTTGTTAAAAGGAAGACAAGCTCCAATATCAAACAGCAAAAGTGTTAAAGTACCGAAAAACGTGATCAACCTCTAGTTTCGAAAGTGGTATTTAATTGGCAGGTTTCACAGCGAATTGAAAAAATTACCTATTGATACAGTTTTCTCAAAGTGAGTCTTTTTTATCTAAAAAGTGCCAAGAATTAATTGTTCTAGAATTTTTAAAAGAGCTCCAAGTGCATGTATTTTCTTCTTTGAAATTCGAAAGTTGCGATTTTTTTGAAAAAGATTTATTTCTGTTTAATTTTTCTGTCGGTATTTCTTTTTTATTGCGTTCATTGACTCTTTTCCAACAATCTGTATAATCAATCATATTTTTAGGCAAATTTGTCTCCCCCAAAGATTGTCGTCTTTATTTTCTCTTTGCAAGTTTTTTTCAGTTGCTTATTCATTATTTCAATGTCTGGCATGTTTGCCTAGAATGAACTTCTAGCGAGACATCCGAAAATTTGACATTTGCTAGAGTTAAAGTTGATTTGGACTTTTTGTATATTTTTTGTTTGTTCTGTCACAAGTGGTGCGAAGCTACGCTTCGCTTCCGTGTAACTGCAGACGTGCATTCATTCATATTATTGTTTCTTGAATGCACTCAGATGTAAATGCACGTTTTGAGTTAAACTCAAACTCATCTGCTAAAAGTTGGGTAAATTGCGCTATCGAATTAAGAACGTGGAACTGGAGAGCAAAAACGTGAATGACTTCTAGGATCCATTGTGGACTTTAATGTTGTACATTTCCAGCGGAATCAAAACTTTACCTATTGAATACGCTTGCGATTAGCAAGCATTATCAAACTGGAGTATAGACTTTACTGGGTTAACAATTTGTTTAACAGAATCACTTGAATCAATTGGTATCCTGGTTCATAATGAATTCAAATTTCTAATTGTCTCCGGCAGACTTAGTCTGTAGGAAACCAATACGCCTGGGACGAGAAGGACTTATTAACTTTGAGGGTGAGGTGGACTCATTAACTTTTCAGAAGTCTGATTAAAGGGTTTCTGACGAAGTTTTTCGGCTTTGTTACCGCTGGGTACATTATCTTCTGATGCTTATTGCGAATTCTAATGTCTTGTCACGTTTTTGTTTCAAAACTAACCTTAATTATTTCAACAGATCTAGTTTTTTCGACCTTTTCGATTTTTTTGTTTTGTATCCCAAATGATGCCAACAAAGTTAGCTGAATACTTAGAAAATCGCTAACTTTGTCTCGATTGATGCGTGAACTAAGTATTCAGAAACATTTATCGAGCTGCAACTAAGCCGACAAAAATTGGCTAAACTCCCTTTGAGTTGAACACAAATTGGACATCATTCGAGACAAAGTTAGCAAATTTCTAAGTGTCAATAAACGAATTCAATTTATTTAGATCTTGATAATGAAACAGTCTTCAAATGCTCTACTAACTACAGAAGTCCATTAATGCATAATAATGAACGTAACAATGCTCTTAGTTATATATGCTTTTTCGAGTCTAATTCAAGTTCAACTGCTAACAACAAAAGCGAAATTAGAGTGAAAAACGCAAACAACTTCTAGTCTCGAAAGCGGATGTTACTTATAAATAAGATTTATCAGCAGAATAAAAAATTGACCAATTGATCCAGTTTTCTTATTGTGTTATTTTTTTATCGGAAAGTGTTAATTATAAATTGTTCTTGAACTTGCAGGAGCTTTAAGGCTATATATAGGAGCAAAGCAAGGCCTATCTTTGAAAACAGTTTTTATAATTAGTATGATTAAATATATTTTGGATTAGTTAGTAAATATGAGTTTTTGCCTTTTCGGGTTGCGTCTTTGAACGTGTCACATTAGTTCATCCACATTTTTTGTCAATTGATTTCATGTTTCATTTGAAATGTTTGTATAGTTATGATTGAGCCCCTTTTAACTGACCTAGAAAGAAAAGTTAACAAGGTTATATGATATATAGAATGTCCTTGCCCAAAAAAAAGTATTTTCGATTTTTTAGATATGCTTAAAAGAGTGTTTTCTTCACTTGTGTAAATCGCCATATGGATACAATCCGGTGCAAATCGCTGTTTCGTGTAAATTTCAGTCCGTCTACTAATGAAAATTCCGTCTATCATAACACTAGCGAGCGTAGTTTAATGGTACGGCTATTCTTTGTTCCACCTGAGTAGCAATTTTTAGTATTACTCCTGGCGGCATTTTTGAAGATGGCTGCATTGGTAGTTTGGTAGCATGTGCTTTGGCATTCGATTAGTGATAAGTTAACACCAATGGTGCATTTTTAATCATCAAATGAGCAGAAATAAGCTATTTGTTTCAAACAACTACTAATATTACCCTTGCGATAATCAAGGGTATTGTAATTGGGTACTAGACTTTTTTCCCGTAAACAGCTTTGTCCACAGGATCACTTCGAGAGAGTTTTTCATTTGTAGAGCACCACTTCAATCACTTCTAAAGGATCTTCATTTCTAAAGGATCTTCTGACACTCATTTTCTTCAAAAGTCAAATATAAGTACTTCAAGCCCGTTTCAGGTTGTAATTATCTTTTCTCAATTTTTTTTTCGGATTTGTGGTTTTCGTCTTAGTTTTTGTTGGTTCAATTTCCGTTTTTTTTAAACGGCTTTAAAAAGAAAGTTTTCTTGGCGTGATAGGTTTCAGCCTGTCTTACATCGGCTTATATCGGTTTTTTTAATTTAATTGGCTTTTTTCGTTTTTATAGGTTTCGGGCAAGGGTATATTTGCATAGTGGCCTCATATTGTTTTATTTGATAGTGTTTGAGGGCGAGGGGATTTATGTTTTTTTATAAGTTTTTTTCGGCATTAAGGTTTCTGTTCAGGTATTTTCGGCTTTGTTGCTTTGTTACCGCTTGATAATTTTTCTTTTAATGCTAATTTTATATTCTTTTGTCTTAGCATGTTTTTGTTTCAAAACAAGCCTTATTCATTCGATAAATCTTGTTTTTTTTTGTTATTTTTGATTTTTTTCGACTTAGCTGCTTTTTTGGTTTGTATCGCAAGTGGTGTGAAGCTCAGCTTCGCCTCTGTGGAAAAATCGCGTTTTCAGAAATTTTTCTCGCAAGTTTTTGGAATGCATACTTCATACATAAATTGTCTGTTCTTTCCAGTTTATTACATGCAAAATTGTGTCGATTTGAATTTGGTGCCACGTTTGCTGCATAGCATTGGCAGTTTATAAGTATGTACCTGATTGGTGGCAAGTGTTAGAGTGTTAGTAAATCTTGCTGGCTCGTGCCTCAGTTGCGAAGACGGGGGATTTTAAATCACCCGGTCGTAGGATCGAATCCGCCGCAGCAAAAGTTATAATTTTCTAGGCTTATTTTTACCTTTTCTTACTTCAATTCACAGAGCTGCTTTTTTGTCGTTTCTCTCTAGTGTTTGCCCAGCTCAGCTTCAGCTCTGTGTCAAATTTATGTAATTAAATTCCATTTAGTTTTTTGTTGTAATATTTGTTTTGTAAGGACTGAATTTAAGCGCGAACATTTCGCCTGTCTTTTGTTGGAAGTTTTTTTTTCGCTATCAATTTTAACTTGAAAAATTTCTATATGCATTAAATTTTCATTTAGGATCCAATCTTTTTGCTTCATATTTAGACTTGCAGTTATGGATGTTAATGATGTCTAGTGGCAACTTTTCGAAGCAGTTAACCTTGTTAAGAAATCGGCAGTGGCTGGAATATTAAAAACAAAATTATTATTGCAAGTAATTTTTTGTTGTTTGTGTCTGTTTGACTCACAATAGACTTACAATAATTTTCATTTTATGAAGATTTGTGAACTTTTTTGTTTTGAAATATGAAATGGGTTTTGAGCTGATATTTATATTTATTTTTGCAGTAGCTTCACTATTATGTTATCTCGTTCACTTAAAAATATCTGCGCTTATGACTGCCGGATTCTAAACTGTGAGGATGAAGATGTCAAAACTAGTTTTAAAATAATCAGATTTCTGACATGAAAAACAGTTTTCCGAATTAATTGTGCTCAGCGTGGCGTACTAGTTATCGCTGAAGCTTGCATTCCTGTGTCGCTTGATTTGATAACCCGATGTAATGACTTAAGTAATGAAGTGGATTTGGTGGAAAGTATAATGAAAGATTTCGGATGATTTCAACTGCATTACGTTTCAGTTCATCTTGGGGAGGAATTATCATCTTGAAACTGCGGAGGAACTTTGTATTCGGGTCGGCTTAAGTTATTTTCTTTTTTAAAATAGAGGTACCACAAATAATCATCGGACTGGGTTGAGTAATATATCACATTAAAGCCGTTACAGTCGTGATTCGAACCACATTTAAAAAAATTCTAAAAAATGTTCCCATTTTTGTGCAAAAGCGGCTCGAAACTTCTGATTTTTCATCTTAAATCGAGCGAATAAAGCGAGCGAGCTTTATTCTTACTTTAATTGCTTAAAAGCTTACAACAGCTGAATTTAAAACGTAAAAAATTTGTTTTACTTGAGTAACGTTAGTTTATTTTGAGTATTTTAGCGCCTTTTGGAATCAAAAACTGTAGAACTTTTTTAAAAATTTTTTTCTTCGTTTTTCAAGTAATTTTTCTACAAAAATTGTTTTTCAATTTGCTTATTTTACTATGACTGTCGAATATACCTAATCTCCAGTTTTTTTTCCGTTCAGCTCCTTTTATCACACCACGAAGAAAAAAATGACACTAATTTGAAAAAAAATTGTTGTATTCGTGTTAAGACTATGGTCGGAACATTCTGTGCTACTTGCACAATAACCGACTATCCTTTTTTCTTTGTTTGTTTGCCTTACTTTTTTCCCTGAAACTTAAGCTCATTCATATCGTACGCGCTGTTGTTTCTTATTTATGGAAAAGTCAGGTCAATTGTGACGATAGTAACTGCTCAGAAGTGATAATCTGTGATATGAATTTTGCGGAATTCGGAATGATGTTTTTCGATTTTCGATTTCTATGAAATCTGAAAAGCGAGAACAATATATGGTTTTTTGTTTATAAATACATTTTTTTCTATCTCAAGTTGATGAGCGAAGCTCGCTTTGTTCTTGTCTTTTTTATTGGTTTGTTTTCGATCCTATGAGCAAGGCTTTGGAAATTGTCAATTGAGTTTTCTTGTTCATATAATAAGCTTGCCCGATAATGGGTTTTGTTTCTTGAATGCGAGGTTTTGGGATTTTTTTTTGAGCGTGTATTTTTTCATTGCTAATGATGTTGAGTTCCGCTTTGCCTATGTGCGAAAAGGTTAATAAAACTGCGTTTTGTTGACATAATAAAAAGATGTTTTAGCTCGAAAATGTAGATAAAACTCGGTTTTGTTGACATGATAAAATCATGTTTTATCTATCAACTGTTTATCTATTCATATATGCGCCTGAGTTTTGTGTTATGCACCGGGTCCTCTTTTTAGATTTCAAAAATGATCGCTAGAAATGGAGTTAAAACTTATTTTTTGTTAGAGTTGGTTTTTCAGATGGAATGAACCGTCTTTTCCGCCACGGACTTAAAGAGTTATCATGGGGGTCGTCAATACCTCTTGACCGATTCTTGTGCCAAATTGGAGCAGCACGAATCCCAAACTTTCCTCTGGCTTTCTTCACCCGTTCAGAACTGAGTGAAAAAACCAGTCGTCTCTATGATGTCAGACAAGATCTGTATCTTTATGACTCGAAAAATATTTGCAATATTGGCGATATAGTTTTAGCTAGAAGGACAAGCGAGTTTGTAAGTTTTCCGAAGACTTTTGACTCTCCAATTGATTGGGACTTGGAAGGTAAAGAAGTTTGGTTCGAAATGGAGAAAATAATTTTTAAAGCTGGAGCTGTAATCGATCCTCTGACGGGTCGAAAATGCAGTGGAAGTAAGTTTGTGTCTGATGAAGTATTTGACCGTGAAGAGATCAATTCAAAGAAACTGGAGGATCCGGCACGGTTTTACGAGATGGACTTTCTTTACCCATCCGATAAACGACCCTGGCCTTTGGAAACTTCTGAAACCCTTTCTATGATTGACGATGTGGATCCAGAATTAGAGCCTCTTATAATGACTAAGCCGAAAGGGTGGCTACCTCGAAGAAAAATTAGGCGATCCTTTTCATTCAAAAGAAGACCCCGGGTGACCTAAATTGTAAAGTTTTTTTTTCCTGAAAACATGTTCAAATTGGATTTGAGATAGTTTGTTTGAACAATAAATATGATTACCGCAAGTTTTCGGAATTTTGAACCAGAATCATTTGTGCTTAAATTAGTCATTTTATGAACTTTCATGCTCATGTATTTTTTTTACGGTGGATCGATTGATGTCAGCAGTTTTTTGCATGGCATCGAATTCTGCAAATTGAGTAGGTTGGTTTGACTTAGCCGTTGTTTTAAAACAATAGCTTCTTTCCTGTCCACATCCTGTTTCTCTAATGACGTCAATGCTAAATGAGGGTTCCCGAGAGGCGGTCATTCAGGCCTTAGCCGCTGTAAATCAGATATAAAGTGATACAAAAGGCAGGCTACAATGACTTTTCGCCCCCTTGGGAGAATCAATTAAGTTATTTCTGAAATACCAAGATCTCTGAGACAGTTGCGGGTGCAAGAGTTTTTAAAGGCAATTGAGGTTTCATTTTTTTCCCAGAGAATTATTTTGACTTTAAAAGTTTCTGCTGAAAGACTAAAGAGACATGTCTTGCCTGAATTCTGATTATCGTCGGAAACAATTTCTAAATGCTGACTTTCCAACCACGCCCCTCAAATTTAGTGTATATTTGCACCGAAGGCGCCTTTAGATAAGCTTTAGAATTGGTGAATAAGAAATGAATGTCGTAAAACAGTACCAAAGAGGTAACTTTGCCAGCCATGATTGAGGAGGGGCCGCCCGCGTCCTCCTCGGTACTCTTTTGAGTATACAAATATCTGACTGGAAAAATTATAATTGGAGAGACATTAATCTGTTGCGTAGTGCTACCTAGAATGTGTAAGGATTGCAACCGGCTACTAATTGGTTTCGGTTAAACGTTTTTAAACATTTTGTGTGCGCAAGTTGGATGACGGCCCCCTCAGGAATTCGACCCCCTACCAACCCAAAGGGTCCCCCTTTGTACTATTTTGAGGTATCCATTTTTGGTGACGGACCCTAAAGGCGTTTTCGGCGCCAATATATACTAATTTTGAGGAGGGAGCGCACGCCAAAAAACAGCGATTTTTTGTCAAAATTTTCCAAAAAGTTCCTAAAAATACCCTATTTGGCCTGTTCTCTCAAAAATTCGACTGCGGCGCACAAAATTTGACCAATACAGGGTCTATTTAATCCTTGGGGAGAGCTCGAAAAATCAATTTTGTCGACCTAAAAAAAGGTCGACATAACTTTCAATTTTTTTTTGATAATCCACCCCCGCGAGAAAATCCTAGATCCGCCCCTGATTTCAGCCGCGAAAGTTTTACTCCAAGTTTCCATTTCAAATCCTTGGGCTGAAAAAAATTTAAAGTGTTTGCAAAAAATTTGAAAATGTTCAAAAAAATTTTCTCAAATATAATTTTGATTTAAAGAAATGCCTCCGTGTCGAGAAAGTATGATCATAAAATTTCCCATTTTTCAGATTAATGTACACGGAGGACAGTCAATTTCCAATTTAATTTAACTTTTTTTTGTTATCATTTAGCTATAATTACCTTATGGCTGCAGAATATTGTTGAATTGAATTCTGTCCCATCGGCAAAAAATCATTTGGAAACCGAATCTTAATTTTTTAGTGCGGCAGTTTGAAAAATTATTTTTTCTGTAAACTGATTATTTAGATTTTTTCGGAGAATGTTATTTGGCATTTATAGTTATCAGTGAGTTCTCAGTGCGATTGTCAGTACTATACATTTTTGAGACGCCGTGGGAACCCTGTCGGCTATCCTTGTTGTTTTATCCACTTGGCTGCTTGAAGTTGTAGATTTTTGTTTACTCAGTTCTGATTATATGTCAAAACATAAGTTCACGTTCCAACCAAAATAGCAAGTTTCTGTTTTGAAATTTTAAAATATTTAAGTTGTCTATGGTGACATCCATTAGCATTAGATTAGTTATCCGCGTTTAAGAGAAGGGCTTTTATTGCTGCCTATGAATTACTATTGAATGTAAGGAAGTGTAATCCAAGTAACTGATGAGTCGTTGAGGCAAGTTACTGTTGGCTGGAAGAGCCGAGAATTGAAATCCGTAGTTTTCAAAGCGGCGATATTTCTCGATTTTTTCAATTAGTGTTTTTTTTTGCATTTCTCAGAGCTCTGCCATTTTTCATTTTTGTTATCACGCCCCTGCATTCTGTCTAATAGGGGTGGGAAGAAACTATGGCGTAGAGTGTCTTGTTCCGCCCAATTTTTGGTGCCTCGAGGAAATTTTTCAGAGTATCATATGTAGAGATTTTCTATCGTGTTTCCGATTCCAAAATGTTAATTCAAAATTGCGTCTGAATATAGATCCCTTTTTTAGGCAAATTAGACGAGAATGGGTGAGAGGCTGACCTTCCCCATTTACTTAACTTTAGTTTTTACGGTGATTTAGTTAGTATAAACTATTTTTTGAATTTTTGACTAATTTAGTTGACTCTTGCTATAAACGTCAGAAATTTTTATAGATAAAGCTTTTTCGTCCATTTTCTTTTAAATCCCTGTGAAAGTGAGAAATCTTTGCTACGCGCACAAATATTCTAAATGCTTAAGTTTGATATTTCATTTGAAGTCCTTTTCCAAAAATTCAATCGTTCCCCCCAAGGAAAGTTGTTTCAATTTTTTGTTCCTTTTAAATAAATTTCACTGTTGTGGCTGCTTCATTTTCCCTTTAATAAGTTTGGAATTGTATTCCATATTTAAATTTTTTATCATTGAAATATTTTTTTCAAATCATCGTGATTGAAACATTTCGTGCTATTTGCATAGCAATTCGAGGCTCGCCTTTTTTCCCTTGTTTGCTTATTGCTGTGACTAATTGAAATAATAATAGTCGTTTGCTATCAAATTTCTTAATACGTGTTTGTATTCGACTCGATTGGTTCAAAAGGGTGTTTTTTTTAAATCTTTTTTTTCTGTTCAAGAGTGTTTTTTGGCTTAATTTTGAGCGTTCGAAGTTTTTTATTAAAATTGCGACAGCAAGTGTGTTGGTACCGGGAACAAGATGTTTGATCGTCAATGACTATATTCGGAAGACTCATCTTTTGGATTCCTTTTCTTGTCCCTTCTGTTGAAAATGCTGCAACAGACATGTTGTAGCATGCTAACGTTTCAAATATCCGTGCTATTCGTAATTTGGTTTTTCTGTTGGTTCTAATTTTACCGACTCAGTTCGGCAATATTAAATTTTTTTTTTTTCGTTTCTTTTTTCTGTTCAATGGCTTTTAGACTATTTTATCGTGGCTTGGTATACTCAAATTGCCTCGTCTCATGTGCGAAAAAGTTTTTTTTTGCGTGTGTGTGTTGTGTGTTTGTTTTAGGGAGGATGAGGTCTTGCTTTTTTGGCTTAGAGTTTCTGCTCAGGTTTTTCTGCTTTTTTGTTTCTTGGTAGCTTTTTTTGTCATGCAATTTCACATTGTTTAAACCTGGCTTGTTTTTTTTTAAACTACCTGTTTTCATTTTGAAAGATACATTTTTTTTCGATTTGTGGTGACATTTTTTTGGCTCTATGGCATTAATTGTTGCGTAGCGCTGACAAGAATGTGTAAGTATTGCAACCGGGTACTAATTGGTTTCTGTTAAACGTTTTGTAAACATTTTAAGTGCGCAAGATAAATGATGGCCTTTAGGTAGAATGGCTTGCAGAGGATTGCTATTCCCACCTTTGAAAACAGAGAGGAATCTCTTCGGGTATGTTCAGTTGTTTTTTTCTTCAAAATCAGGTGCCTCAATTAATAATCGAAATGATTTGATCGCGCTTTGAACAAAGTTTTTAATTACTTTTGATTCCAAAAATGTCTCCGTGTCGAGAAAGTGTGATAACAAACATTCTCGTTTTTCAGACACATAGGACAATGAACTTCCGATCTAATTTATCTGCATTTTTGCTAATTTTTATCTACAGTTACCTCATGATTGCAAAATATCGTTAATTGAGCCTTGTCACATCGCCCAAAAATAAGTTGGAATAAAACTGTTATTTTTTTTAATACAGCAGTTTAAAAAATTCAGGTTTTAAACTGGTTTACTTAGATAAATGTGGTCGAAACCGGCAACCGATCAGGGTGATTATGGTGTCTGTCCGGTCAGTGCCTTCAGTGCGAAGCGTGATCCGTCAGTGACCCACAATTACCAGACAAGCAATATAAGTACCACAAAGGTTTTCACCGCACTTGTTTACAAATTCCATAAAAATCAGGGCGTATCAAAACTTCAAACTTTATACGTTTTTAAGCAAAGTTTTGAACATATAAATTATTATATAGTCGTCTGTTTTTTTGATTTGCTACTTATCAAAACGAAAAAAAGACTGTTTTACTAAGTATCTTTATTTGGCTTTCTTATTATCTGTGCGAATGTCAGTACAGCAAGTTTTGAGACTACGTGGGAACCTGGTTGGCTATCCTTGTTGTTTTATCCTTTTGGCTGCTTTAAGTTAAAGATTTTTTTTCCTATTTCTGGTTCTATGTTTTAGCATAAATTCACTTCGAACCAAATAGCAAAGTTCTGTTTTATATTTTTTAAAATTGGTGTTCCGCGTTTAAGGAATTGGCTTTCCGCGTTTATGTAAAAGCTCTTTCATTGCTGCCTATGAATTACTATTCTTGTGTGGAAGTCGTGAATTGCAAGCAGTTGATTAGTGGTTAAGGAAAAATACTTTTGGCTGGAAGGGCCGAGGATCGAATACCGTAGTTTTCAAAGCGGTGGTTTTTATTGGAATCCAAAACACGGCAAAAGATCTCTACACATGACACTGGGAAAACTTTCCTCGGGGCACCAAAAATCTCTACGCCATATTTCCTTCCCACCCCTTAACGAAGAAGACAGGGGCTGGTAACAAAAACAAAAATGGTAGAACTCTGAAAGATGCAACAAAACAAGATTTCAAAAAAAAGACATCTTTCAGAGTTCTACCGTTTTTGTTTTTGTAACCAGCCCCTGTCTTCTTCGTTAAGGGGTGGGAAGGAAATATGGCGTAGAGATTTTTGGTGCCCCGAGGAAAGTTTTCCCAGTGTCATGTGTAGAGATCTTTTGCCGTGTTTTGGATTCCAATAAAAATCATTTCAAAACGTGGTTTTCATATTTTGTTTTATAAACTAAAAAGCAAAAATAGATGAGAGGCTGACCTCCACATTTAGTTTAAGTTTATTTTTGACGCTTTTTTAGTTAGGCAAATATTGCGAAATTGAATTTATACTAAATTCAGTTGCCCTTGCTATAATTAACAGGAATTTTTTAAAATTGATTTTTATAAATGAAGTTTTTTGTTCATTATCTCCGAAATCCTTGTAATAAGAAGAATTTTTAGCTACACGCTTAATCACTGGCTCTGGGTGTTTACCTTTGATATTTCATTTGAAGCCCTTTTCCAAAGTTTCAACCGTTCCCCTAAAAGGAAAATTCTTTTGTATTTTTAATTTTAAATAAATTTCACTGTCGTGACTGCGGTCGGAACTTCATTTTCCCTTTGCTAAATTTGGAGTTTTTTCAATGTTTTAAATTCTTTTAATTATTGAAATTCTTTCAGATCATCGTGATTTGTACATTTTGTGCTATTTGCTAAGCAACTGGCTCGTAATATTTTTTCTGTGCTTCCTAAGTGCAGTTACTGAATTGAAGTAGTCATAGTCGTTAGCTATCAACCTACTTAATACGTTTTTGGTTCGACTTGAGTGTTTTTTGGCTTAACTTTGAGCGGTCGAATCTTCTTTATGCTTGTTATTGCAAGTGTGTTCAACCGGGATTTTTTCTTCTTAAATAACTTTATTCGCAAGACTCATCTTCTGTACTCCTCTCTGTCCCTTCTGTTGAAAATGCTACAACACATTATTGAGCATGTTAGCGTTTTTAATATCCGTATTATTCGAAGTTTGCTTTTATCTTAGTTGTTATTTTACCAATTTAACTTGGCAACATTTAGTTTTTTTCCGAATTAATAGAAATTTGGCTTGCATTATTTTGGGCTGGTATCTTGGTTTTCTTGTGTGTTTGGGTTGGTATCTTGGTTTTATTGAGTGTTTTGAGGAGGGTGAGGCCGTTTAAAACTTTTTGGCTGAAAGAGTTTCTGCTCAAATATTTGCGGCTTTGTTAACTCTTGGTAAGTTTTCTTCTAATGCAAATTTCTCATTCTTTTGTCTTGGCATATTTTTTTTAAAAAACCAACTGTTTTGATAACGAAAGATCAATTTTTCGAGTTTTGTGTACATTTTCTTTGCCTCTTTGTAATAAATTGAACATCATGTCAGGCGATTTTTGCCATCCACTGATTCCAAATGAAGGAATTTTCTGAATTAATTATAATACATTTGAAATAAGCAAGAGTCAAATCGGTCAAGGAAATGTTTATGCTCCTGTAATCAACATTTCCTTAACTACTTCACTTGTTTAACAACTTATTCAAAAACAATGAAATCGATAACTAAGTTTAGTCATTTTAAGATTAGTTGACATACTTGCTCGAAGTTGTGATGTGAAATCCTATTGTGAAGTGGTTTTTCTAGTTTCCCGTTTCTGTTTAGAGCAAATGAGTGTGTTATATAACGAGATCTTTTTTCGCCAGCCTAATTCGTAAAAATTATTGCTCAAGATCTGTGTACTGCTCTAATTTCTAACTATATGGCAATTAATATAGCATGTGTGTTATCCGCTTTATTGATGACTGGTGTTCGGTAGGCAGGAAATTGCTCTTGAAGAGATAGCACTTTAACTCTGTTGGTCGAGGGTTCGAATCCTATGGGGCATTTTGTATTTTTCTACGTTTGTTTACTTATTTTTTCTTGTTTTGATTGTATTGTTGTTGTTGATTGCAATATTGATAGTATTTCTGTATTGGGCTTAATCGTGCAAAAACTAAAACATCAGAAATAGTCCGTTTTGAATCGTTTTTAATCAATTCCACCATTCCTATTTCCATTTTTTATATGAACGAAATGGAGAAAAAAGAAGCAGCCATCTTTGCAGCAAATTCTGAGCAGTTGAGCTTTTATAAGGCTGATTATTCACATTTGTATGCATATTTTTTTCTAAAACTATCCGAAGACTTCCAGTTTGGTTTTCGAAATTACTCTGAAAAGCTTAGAGCCCTTAACGTGTGCTAATTATGAGAAGAGGATGTTCAAGAAACATTAAAATAGCTAAAGGGAGATGGTTTTTGAAATTACAGACAGTTCTTTAGTTTGACTAGATCATCTGGATATTTGCTATTTGATTGGCATTTTCAAAATATGATTAAGTTTTTTTTTGCGTCGAAACTAGTAACGAGTAACCTATCTGTTTTACTGAATGAAATGAAATTTTAACCTTTAACTATATTGTAAGTACAACAGCAATCAAATGTAGGTGATGCAAATAAAAGTTATCGACAAAATCGAAAACTGAGCTGAGAGGTTTGGGAGCGTAGCGAGTCTAATATCTATCTATCTATCTATCTATCTATCTCTACATTATTTAATTGACGTTTCTTTTGACACATATTTAGGAAGTCCCTTTGTTGACATGCTCAAGCTTTTTCAACGTATTATTTTTTTTGAATGTGTAAAGAAAGAATTTTTGCACGGTTATGTTATATCGTATTTTGTAATACTGTTTAAGAAGTTGTACTGTTGGTCCGTTAAAAGGTCAAAACATTGCAAGGGTTGAAATGTTTACTCAAGTCGACGTTTTAAAAGCTGTTGGAGCCCGAATGCTTTAATTTAACTCTACATTTTTTGTATATTCGCTACGTAAAACTATCAAAACTTTTGTTTCGCTTATAGTCGGGTTTCACACACTAAATTTTAAGTTCGCAACCTTATAGTGGGGTGATGTCAGGGTACACTCGGGGGTTTCAAAGCTGGTGTCCGAGTATGACAGCTTAAATCCTTTTGGTTTTCGAGATATGACGTTTTTTATGTTGTCGTTTTTTCCGTAGAACTTAGATATACAAAAAACTAACCGAACTTGAAACTCTCAACCGTCTAGTGGAGTGCAGTCAGGATACAGTCAGGGATTGCAAAGCTAGCGTACAAAACGACTGCTCAAATCTTTTTGGTTTTCGTGATATGGCGTTTTTTAGGATTTATGTTTTTTGTTTAAAAAAATTAGATATAAAAAATGGAACTTGAAATTCTTAGTCCTACGTTTTTTTTTACTGTCAGGGTACATCCAGAAGCTGCAATTCTTTTCTCCAAATGTGACTGGTCTAATTCGTTTTTATGGTTTCCGAGATGTGGCGTTTTTGTGATTTTTCCATGTTTTTTTTTAAAATTGAAATAAAAAAGCTAACAGACCAATTCTCAAATCGAATGCGGGTTACTGTCAGTTACACAACAGTGTTGCAAATCTGAGCTCTAAAAATACAGCTCAAATTTTTATGGTCTCCGAGCGATTTTTTAATTTCCAAAAATTTTGAATTGAAAAAACTAACCAATCTTGAAAGCCTCAACCCGATGGATTTTGTCGGTACATTCAGGGGTATTTTCCTTGTAAAAACTTGGCTGAGAGCTTTTACTGCCCATTTTTTTTGTTTCTGAGAAATGGCGTTCTTCATGATTGTATCAGTACTTTTTCCACAAAACTTGAAGATTTAAAAATAAATATTAGAAATTAAAATTCTCAACCATACGGTGGGATGCTGTGAGGCAACAATCAAGGGTAGAAATTATGTTCTCTAATACTATCTGCTCAAATCAATTTGGTTTTCGCTATATGTTTTTATGAAACAGAAACTCATGATATGAGCGCAGTTCAGCTTCACGGTTGCATTAAATAGCGCAGTTTTAGTACAGATTTTAGGAAGCTCTTTTTACGTTCAGCGATCTATTTGAGGCACCGTAGGTGCATGCATGTTATGCGCTTGTTATATTTTTAAATGCGGGCTTCATTATCTCGCCATGTTTAAGCTTTTTCAACGTATTATTTTTGGGTGTTTAACGAAAGTTTTTTTTTCTCATGTTTAAGCTCTATCGTATATTGCAATAGTCAAGTGTTTTTTTTTTCAATTTTCCAGTTACAATTCAGTGTTTATTTCACTGAGTTCAAAATAAGCAACCTAATCATGGGATGCGGTCAGGGTTTTTCTCACAAGGAGTGAAGAATTTGGCTTCCAAGTATGAATACCCAATTCGTTTTAGTGTACGAGTTACGACGATTTTTGTGATTAGAGAATCAAATTGAAAGTTAAGCAAAATTTTTGATAACAGCAACCTTATAGTTGGGTGCTGTCAGGATAATATCAGGGATTGTGAGTCCTGCCTCTAAATTTGACTGCCCAAATTCTTGTAGTTTTCGAGAAATGACGTTTTTTGTGGTTTTCTTACAACAATTTTATTAGAAAACACTTTTGAAGTTTCTCGAAATTTGAAATTCCCAGCGCTTTAATTGGGTACTGTGAGATTACTCTTAGTAGTCTAAAAGCAATTGAGCGGCTACTCAATTGCTTTTAGTTTACGAGGTTGGACACTTCTTTTGTCATTTTAAAAATTTACTAAGAACTTTGATATAAAACTTATACTTTTATGGTTTTTCAAATTTTGAATTAAAAAATAACTTGAATAAAAAACTTTACAAAATTTGAAATTACCAATCTGGAGGCTCTCAGAGTGCTTTCACAGGATGCAGCCTTGTTTTCCAATATGTGCAGTTTTTTTGATTTGTCGAAATTTCAAACCACCGGAGGTGCGTTACACGCTAGTATAATTGATGATTATTTAATTAGAATAAGCCTTATTGTTATGTCCATTTTTTGGATTCAACATGCAATGTTTTGAGAAAAAGTGCCTGATGTGCTTTTTTGAATAATCCGATGTTTTGTTAGGTTTTGTGAAATTTCATGTTTTTGCTCAAAAAGACAGACTTCAATCTTGTCTGTTTAGTTCATATAATTTTCAGTTACGAATTTTTCAAAATTTCGAAGAAAATACTAAGTGAGCATCTCTTTCTTTAATTTGCTCCTTTCAACGATTATCGAATGTTCTTTTTTCAAAAATCAAATACGCTCGGAAGATTCTGTTCTAATTGGACAGCATCTGGCTCTTCTTGTTTAAACTTGAAAAGCCGGGTACGGTATCATTTTATCCTGTTGATTCTCAGACAAAGCAAGGCACAATGTAACAAAACAACATGGCTGAAATATTATCTCGATGCGAGAAATCAAGGTTTTGCGTCTTTTGTGGAGCGATCATTTGTTGCTGTTCTAGGTTTACTATGTCTCCTTTTAAGGAGTTTGACGTAATTCAGTAATGAGGAGCTGATGATATCGCGTTACCTTTTTTGTTCCTTCGTTTGCTATCTCTTCTTTATTACCTCTGCTTCCTCTTTTGTATTTGGAAGCATATTTTATGATAGTTGAATCTGATTATCTTGTATCAAAGTAGTTCTCGGTAAGTATTTTTGATCTGAAACGATTTCTAGTCTATGATTACGAATTTACTATCAATTAAATTAAGCTAAGTGTTTTGATTCAGCAAACTAAAATCAATTTTCTACAATTTGTAGTCTTCGAGCTTACACAGAAACTCGAAGCACTCTTGGGTGAAAAACGCCGTAAACTAGTTGATACTAGTAAGGTAAAAAATTATTGGTATCTTAGTTTTTTTGATTAGTTATTTATTGGAGACGTGTATTCAAACAAATTTGCAGCCTCTGTGTACTGAATCATCATCATCCCGCTTCATAAAGAAAAGCAAATTCAAAACGGAACTATGACCATGCGTAAATCCGATTATTCCTCGTTTCATCTAAATGATTGAACAGCAGCAGCAGGTGTAGATGGTTATTATGTACAATCATGCCATCAAAAATGCATCCGTATTGGTAGCCTCTTTTATCAGTTCGCGTTCAGTACTGAGTCACCATTCCTGCTATTGTATCCGTACCTGGATATTGAAGCACTAAACTCTTCTCTTTTCTGGCCACCGGCGTAAGAAGAATTAAATCATTAGTAGAGGTATGGAAAAATATGTGGCTCTCATTTTGGAAATATGTGAAAGTACTCTAATGCTCCTTTCTTTTCCAAAGATACGATAGAATAATAAGACCAACCAAGGTTGATTATCTCATAACTTAACTCTATTTGTGTTAGCTTTTCTTTTGTTTTTTTTTCTACCTACCTATAACCAACGAGCATTTGATCCCAAAGGATTTCCCCGACTTCCTCAAATATTTCTTCTTAAATTGAACTGCGCCGCGTTTGGTGTTTGAAACATTTACTGTCTTTCCTATTTATTGATTACAATCGCCAACGCCGAGGTCTTCGCTAGCAAATTTTCATCTGAATTTTTAGATAATGGACCATCAGTGCCGTCTCAGCTAAGTGTTATTGTCAGGGGTATATTTTATTGAAAACATCTGCGTTCTGACGAGTTGAAAGAGTCCTATTAATTGTTTCCTGGAAGCTTCAATTTAACCTCAAAGAATCGAGGTTTATTATAAAAATGTAAGTGGATTTTGAAAGGCGAAATCTTCTCGGAGTTTTACGTCTCATTTAAGCACTTATTTTGATAAAAACTGCACCCATTTTTTCAAAAGAATAAACTCGATTTTAAGCTGATGTTCAAAAACGTCAAGTAATTCAAATAAGTTTTCAAGAAACTCCTAAGCCTTAAATGAGAACACAAGAAACATAATCAATAAACAGATCTACACAAACCCTCGCCTTTTCATTATATCCGCTCGTTTTCCCTTCAACACATTGCCCTATTGCGTTGATCATGTGTCCTAACTGAAAACTTAAAAACTGATAAGAACATTGGCGCCTTTTTACTCATTCCGCCCATATTATTGTATGCAAACCAGTAAAGATAGATTTTAAATCGGATTGACTGAAATAAATTTGTTGCTTAAACATAGTTTGAAAAACCGGAAACATAGTTTGAAAAACCGGTAAGTTATTTTGCGCGAAATATATATATATTTTTAAATTCGTTCTAAAAAATGCGTGTAGATAGTTTGAAGTCTGGTACTTAATTCGTCGTTTTTAGTCTAAATCGCCTGCATCAATTTACTCCAATTTGACGCCAAAGACAAATTGCCTGGCCGGTTACAACGGGACACCTACATTAAAGTGAAGTGACGTAACAAAACGGCACGACATCTTAACTACAATACAAATCAAGTAGCACTGTGTTTTCTGTCAGGAAATGGATCAAATGGACTTTAGAAGCACCTAACTGACTAAGTGGACGCCATTAGGCAACGATTTGAAGTGTACATTTTTGTTTCCCTCCAATCAACCGAATTCTGTCCTCATGGCACATTATCAGAGATTATAATGAATGAATGACGTAATATCCATTTCGAACGTCTTCTACAAAATTACTTATTTCCGACGAACTCTACGATTTTTTGAGTTTTTTGTTTTCCAGAGGCCGGAAAACAGTATTAGTTTCAAGTGGCGAACTCTTCTCATGTTTTATTTGGTAGAATCGAACTAAGTTGAAGTTACCTCGCTTTCATTTGAATCTGGGCTGACATTATTTCCATATTTGTCTGATTCTGTTTAGATTACCAACTGCAATTCCCTTTTTTGCCTTTATTTTATTATGCGTGTAATATATATCCCACTCCTAATTTGACGCACCAGTCTTACCAGAAGTTACCTGAAAGTGATTTCGGTCGTAGTTCACTGTATCATAAACCAAGACTGCTAAATTTCTTTTTATTTCTTCTTTGCTTAATCTACGATATTGACAAAAATTTGACATACTATCTACAATGCCTTTTATACACAGATTTCTTACCCCGCGCGAGGAGAGAAACATGGTCTACAAGACTTTTTCCAACGCAGGTAATATTTGAAATCATTGATTCCAGCAAATATCGCCAACGTAGCCTCAACAATTTAAGCACATTTTTCAGGAAACCTGTAAAGAACTAACGAAAAGTTTCTAATTAGCGTCAGTTTCTAAGAAACACTACAATTGAATCTGTAAACAGATCAGAGAAAAGTAAGGGGGAAGAATTTTGGCTTATGTTTCTAGCAGTGCAATATTAATGCTCATTCAATCGAGAAATAATAAGCACTGGTCAAGAAAAATCAGTTTTGGTATAACCATGAAATTTGATATCAATGATTTCTTTTAAACCGATTCACTAAAATCGGAATCAATGCACATATTTTCATCAATCGAGTGTATCTGAGTCAAACTAAATAGCTAAATAGCCTTGATGCCCAATCATAGCTCATTTACCACACTGCTCAAACTATTCCAGAGTGACTACCGTATTAGTGCGAAATCTGTGCATAGCGTGAATAGCAAATCAATATCGGTGCCAAAATTATTATCACCGCACTTATTCCCTAATTCATTTAAAATCGATACCGGTTTGGTTTTTTGTCATCGGAAATATTTTAATTCAAACCGGCTGACAGGAACTTCGACGAAAACCAAATTAGACTGCTCAAATGAAACAGAATTAAGAGGTTACTTTTTGCAAAACTAGCATTTAAGACGAAAGTCGAAGTCTTCAAGCAAAATTTATTGCTTGAAACAAAACTTCACATATACAAAAAGAGTATATAATCCTATTGCTTATCAAATTACTTTTTATATATGGTTTGTAAAAACCTTAATCCAAATATTTTAAAACGTTTTCGAAATGCATAAATTATATCATTGCCACTTGTGAAATTTTAGTTTGCATTTATGAAAGCTCTAACGAAAATTGGTTGTAGTCAGTAAACAAATTTCAGACACCATAAAATTACAATTACGTCTACTTTCCGATAATTGTTCCGAGCATTTGAAAAATGTGAATGAATTTTGTATTCGGGTGTGTTTAAGTTTTTTGCTTTCCACGCAAAATTAGAAACTACAAATTTTTACCGCAAAGGGTCGAGCCATGTATCCTTTTAAAGCTCTTTCAGTTGTGATTCGAACGACATACAATTTGTTTTTCACAATATCAAGAAAAACCGGTTTGAAGTTTTCGATTTTTTTGGTCTAATTTCGATTTAATAAGGTAAGCGTGCAGGATTGCACTAGATTGTTTATGCGTGCTTAATTCAAGCCATAAAAATTTAGATTCCTTCGGGTAAAGTTATTTTTTTTGCAACATTTTGGGAATCAAAAACTTTGCAAAAAATTTGAAAATTGTTTTCTTGTCATTTCTTGGCATTTTTCTACAAAATTTTCCAACTGGCCTATTTTGCTTAGATTGTAGAATATGCTTAAGGTCCATTTTTTTTGTTTAGATCTTTTTATAACACCACTCAGAAACAACGACAATAATTTGAAGAATTTTTTTTTTGTGTTTTTAAGACTATGGTCGTATCATTCTGTGCTAATTGCACAGTAACCGGCTATCCTTTTTGTAAATTTATTCATTTTCCTGGTCACGCTTAATTAGCTTGACGTCTAGTTTTCTAGGCCCGCTCAAACTATTGGTTCAAGCCATTTTGATTCAAACAAAAAATCCAATATTATAATTATTTTCACAACCTTCAACACTTTGAGTGTCAGAGAACATAATGAAAGTATAGTTGTACGTTTAGTTGTATAGAATGTGAGAATTTTGCTTCAGGATTCGTTCATGCTCAATTGGTATGTTGAGGGGTTGTTGTTCTATCAGCTCAGTTCATTTCTTTTGTTAAAAGCAAGGCAAATTTCACTATGGAACAGCAATGTGTAAAGTTCACTAAAAGTCAAAAATAGGTTTTATATTTTAGATTTATGAGTTAAATTGGAACACTACCTATTGATCCAGTTTTCTCAAATTGGGTTATTTTTATATCAAAAATTGTCAATAATAAATTAATTTTCAAATTCAAAGAGCTTCAAGTGCATATATATATATTTTTGAAATTTGTAAGTTACGTTTTTTTTTTTCAAAAACAAATCAAAACTTCGAAAAGTTTTCTCAAATTGGGTTATTTTTTATAAATTGTAAATGAACGAAGTGAAGACACTTTAGGTGCAGTTTTCCAGTATTTTTCAACGAAAAGCCTTCATGTGAGTCTTTAAAGCTGTTCATGCTCAAATTTGATTTTTCATGTTTTGGCATTCGATTTGGTTTTCAATTTCAATTCCGTTAATTTGCAAAAAGAATTAACGAAAGTGCAAATGATGCTTAAAACCTGATTTGTTTTTAACTTTACAAGCAGATTTTTTTTCGAGTACGCTGTGCAGTTGAAAGGAAAATTGATCTATTGGTTCAGATTTCTCAAAATGGCTCAGCCTGCAAGAAATAGCAACCATCATGAAATCATATGTTTTTTTTTCTGTAATACTTGTATCAGTGTTTTCCTTGTTCATTGACAGTTTTACAATTGCCTGTTGACTATGTTTATTACAGTAATGAAGCAGTACCCCTCCAAGTTCACCGCCATCATGGGCGAGATCTGGAAGATGCCGTTTGAGAAGCTACTGCGTGCCTCCCTCACCACCCACCACGTGAACATTTATGTCGACCTGGCAGCCAGCAAGGTCACCGGGGTCTCCCAGTATGACAGATATGTGAAACATGTGAGACGCCTGTCCAGAGTCATAGGCGACATTGAAGACACGTGAGCAGTGTTCTGAAGACAATTTAATGCGCTCCAAGTTCATTTTTCTGTAATAAAGAGGGAGAGTTGTGATTGTTTTTTTGTGCCCTCACAGCAAACTTGGTTTTCATATCATTTTTTGCCATTTGTCAAAATACGAAAGATTTATCACGGAAATCTTCCTGATTGGAATGGTTTACATGATTGCTTAAATTTGTTTTGATTAAAAATGATGAAAAGATTCTTAATCAAAACTAGTGGTCCTTATTATTCGACTAAAATTTATGGATTAGTACCTCAGTTTGGTGTCGACCGTGAGCTAGTTCTTTGCATGAACAAAATAGATGTAAGTGTAACAAGATAGACAATTAATTGTGACATAGGTTCATTTTTCAAATTTCAGTCCTTTTGTGGACCTTCCGCGAACGGATGACGTACTTATGGACCATCTGTTCATGAAAGTGTGTGAGTTCTGTCCCTCCCACCCCCACTCGCGCCAAACAGCAGAGACAGTCACAAATGAACTAAATGAGCAGGGCTACATAGAGAGCAGGAATGACATTGTGGACATGTTGGAACAGCCTCTATTGCTGCAGAAGAGAGTGAGACACATTTACAGACAGATAGAGGGCGTAACTCCTCCGTAAGTTTGAAGTTGAAATTTGTTGTTTTTTGTTCCGACCATTTGAAAACCTACGGTTTGAATTTTTAAGGGAATACGAAGACTTTGGGCTCAATTCTGTATACCCTGAAACAGCTTCGTTGACCTCAATTGCAGAAGCTTCAACACACACGAACCAAAGTGCATCTTACTTTGCCGACCGCAATTCAGACTCGGCTTCGCTAAGAAGTAGTGCCTCGGCTATTTTCACGAATAACTTTGACGAACTGTTTGAGCAAGCGGCGCAGATCAATGGGGACCGTTCTCCGATACGCGGGGGAATAAGACCCTCATCTTCGATTGATTATTCAGCTACTGGGTCCACTCTTTTGACCCCCACTAAGGGGAAGAGAGGCGTGACTGATTATTCGCCTCAGGTGGAGGCTCTGCATTTGGAAGTGGTGAATGAGACAGCGGCGGCCGTTCAGCTTCCTCAAAGTCCCCATAGGGATCTGATGAGTGAGTTCATTGCTTTGATTTTATCTTACAAGTAAAAAATCAAACATGATAATTAAGCTTTAAAAGTTTTTAAAGAACCAACCGTACGTTGCACGGCAACTTGTTTTAATCAAACGTCCAGAGTGGCCCTAAAACAGCTTTTCATTTTTTTCAAACTCACAAAAATTTGATAGTGAGCTATAAGTTTCAAGCTAAAATGAAATATTTTTGCCAATTAAGTCTTCCGTTTTGAAATTTCTGCGTTTTTTTTATTAGTATGATTGAAATCAGTTATGTACATTTTGTCCTGTATGATTTCAAAAGTTCCATCTATCATTATTCTTAATATTTTTTTTCAGAATTTTCACCTGGTCCTCGTTCACAAATTAAAATAGTTGTCGAGGACGGCGAAAATGATTTCGACCGACTCCTCCAGATCAACAAGACAATTGCACAAGACAGCGATTCAGACGAAATGCTATCTTCAAATCCAACTTCAGTACCCGAACCAAATTTGGAGCCGACAGTATCTTCTTTGGACGCCACAATGATGTCATCTTCGTCTCGGGATTCGAGTTACACGAGAGCCGAGACTGTTCTCGTGTCGAAGACCGGCGATTCTTCAGTACAGAAACGGATCAAGAAACGCAAGAAGGTGAAGCAACAGTCACTAGATGCGTCGGTGTTGGGAACAGATGATTGTAGCAATTGTGATGTGTGTGATTATGAGAAGCGGTTAAGTCAGATGTCCTTACAGAATCCGACTGATGAGTTCGATAAATTGCAGCAGTATATGATAGACACTGGAGGTAAGTTGAGTTATCCTTATCTAGCTACCGCACTCAACTCTGTGATTTCCTTGTTTTTTGCGGGTTGTTCTGTTCTTTGTTCGAAGATCGATTCGCTGAAAAGCGAGAAACAAATTTTCAAACAATCGGGGAATACAAGAGTTCAGAGACGGTTTCGGCGTCTTTGAAACCCTTCTCAAATAAAGACCAAGAGAAGGCGATTGATGCAATTGTACTGAGAGTTTTGAATGGACCTATATTTAATTAACTACCCAGAATGGAACTGCCCGAAAACAAATTAGTATTATTATATTACTCCTCATGCTTTTGTTGTCCTTAGATACGCTTCCAAATTCAATCGACCTGCCTTCCTCTTGTGATATCTCTGTTCTCTTCGACCCCGGACAGCTAGAAATGGATCCAGACGAAAACTTCCAACCCATACCCGACATTCTCGACGCCATACTAAGCGACAACCCATCTCAATCAGTGCAGAAGAACTCGGAAGCGGAGACCAATCAGAAAGAGGAAAATTTTGAACCAATCAAATCGGAAGAGCCTCCGAAAAGTGAAAAATCGATCTCTTCAAAATCTAAAAAGAAACAACCGAAGTCAGATTCGGTCAAAAGAAAGACTGATATGAGAACTGCAGAGTGTTGCTAAATAAGATTCGGTTTTGAATGACTAAGGTTGTATGCTCATCTGCATTTATGAGACTGGAGATTGATCGCCTTTGAAGTTTGCCTTCGTAATGTATATAATTATCTCGCAATATTCAAGTGCATATTAATGATTGCTAAATAGCTTTAGTGCAATGAATTCAAATAATATAGATATAACAATATTTCAGTTTTTTAACCAGAAGTAGATTGTTTTCCCAGATTTGGAGACGGATTGCAAATTGCATTCTTCAATTGCGAAAGTTCAAATGGCGCGAAAAAATGCGATTGACTTTTAATTTCAGACGTGGATTTCACTTTCAGATTTTCTAGGGGAACGAAAAAAAAACGTTTGATCAAGTTTTCTCTAGTTAGTTAAATCTTATCGAAAAAGAATCGATCATAAATTATTATTGATATTTTGAAAAATAAAGAGCTTAAAGTCCATTTATCCAATTCTATCTCCATACAAATCCATTTTTCCAATTCATTGGAGGCCACTGAAACTTTTCCAACTATATGTTAGCTGTGTTCCAAATACTTTTTGATTTTTTTTGTTTCTTAAAGTTTCAAATGAAATTTGACTTTTTCAAAAACCATTTTGCCTTGTTAATAATGTTGAAGGGTGTGTGAATTTGATAAACCAGCAATTCGAAGGGTTGATTGTAACAGGAAAACTTTTGACAATTTGAAGGTCCGTGTTTGACAGATTTGTTTTTTTTAAAATACCAGAAAAAAAATCGGCAAAAGGAGATTCGAACATATAAGAAAATACAAAGAAAAATCTGGATAATTCAGTTTTTATTGTTGTATTATCTGCAGTTTCGCAATTTGCTCTAATCGAACCCGCACTTTTTTGTGGGAGGAGAGTTATTTTATTGCTCCTGAAATTCTTCTATTGATCCTGACGTTTGTTTTTCGAGCTGCTTTTGCCGTGTTTGCCTGATTTTGCGCTTTGCAGCTTCGCCAATGTGGTTAATCTTCAAATATAGATTGAATTTATGAAAAGATGTTGGGATAAACCTAAAAAGTAGCCTGTACCTTGTAGGTCCTAATTTACACGACTTTTTTTTATTCAACCTAAGTCGCAAATGAAAGTTCTCAACTAAAGGCTTTTATCTGTTTTTTTTTGCTGCATATAATCATAATTTTGCGTTTGGTTTATTTGTAGCTAGGTCCTTCTTCATAATAAAAACGTGCACTATGAAAGTATACGAGCTTTGATTTTTTTAAAACTCTTTGGAAAATTTTATGATCTTTTCGAATAAAAATCCTATTTTACTTACATTTTTTTGTCGATTTTCAAAAAAGTGGTACTAATCGAAATATCGACTATTCAACTATTCATCTGCCTGTCTGCTTACTCCACTAGTTTTACTTCGCTCGACATTCTACAGTGGGGGGTTTTAAGCCATTTTTAAGAATTTTTTCTTTTTCTCGAAAACAATTCTGTGAAATCTGCGATTACAGAATTACTTAAAAAACATGTGATAAGATCACCCATTCATTAGCTGCTACGATCTAATTATTGTTGAAGTTGAGTTATGGCTTTCGATAATGTCCAAATTTTGATTTGAAATTTGGGCAGTTTCTGGAAAATTTCTTTTCCCAAAATCTACCTTGCTTAAGGGTTCAATCGAAAAAACAAGTGTTAGGAACTGTCCTAGCATAAACGGCAACGCCTAAATTTTGTATTGACAATTTGGAAATTGTGAATGTTTTTTGGAAATATTTGATTTTTTTCAAAAACTACCCTACCAAATTTGAAGTTAATGGTTTGATTGTTAGAACAGGTTAACGGATCTTTTCTGCACAAGTGGTATTACCTTGTTTTTGGGATAAAAAAGTTATCTCTGTAGAAGAGGAAAAATCTAGGATATAGAGTTAAACCTTGAGTACATGCACTAGAAATTTCACGTTTCTCTTCTTAGCGGCAATGCCCTTATTGTTGTTTTTAGTTTCCTAATTGTAGAAAAGCATTGTTGTAGGTGGGAATTTAATTTCGTTCTATATATATATAAGTAGTATAGATATACGACACTGGGATCGGGGGGGGGGGGGGGGGGTGGTGATCCCTACAGGGATCATTGGGTATAGATTATACCTAATGATCCCTATGTAAATATTTATACCTAATGATCCCTATGTAAAATATTTATACCTACTGATCCCTATGTATAATTTTCATAGCAAATGATCCCTATGTAAAATATTTATACCTAATGATCCCTATGTAAAATATTTATACCTAATGATCCCTATGTAAAATATTTATACCTAATGATCCCAATGTATAATTTTTATACTTAATGATCCCTATGTAAAATATTTATACCTAATGATCCCTATGTATAATTTTCATAGCAAATGATCCTTATGTAAAATATTTATACCTAATGATCCCTATGTAAAATATTTATACCTAATGATCCCTATGTAAAATATTTATACCTAATGATCCCAATGTATAATTTTTATACTTAATGATCCCTATGTAAAACTTCGGTAAATTATTGAGTATTCCCACTGAACGTTGTGGAAACGGGAATGGAATTAAGTTTTGGTCGGTGCATATTTTCCCTTCTAAAGTTTGGGGGTATTGGCTTGTTTACATGTAAAAGGACGTTATATACCTATTATATGTAATAGGAAAGCACCAGATTTTGGCAGCGTAGCTTAACTGTTGGCTGCGGTGAACGATTTCCTTCAAAAATGCATGTTTTATTGCTGAATCTCAAAGAAAGGAAAATTCTTCAATTGCGGCGGCCGCCACCTCTATTTAGGTAAAAGCTAATGATCAATTTGACCGAAATAAGAATGAAAAGTTTCTTTAAGCCAAATGAAAGTAAAAAACAAAGAAAAATTTTGCAACACTGAAAACTCTAAAATAATGAAATTGGCTTGAAAATTTCGACATTTCCATTTTCCGTGTCTACAGAAGACTGAAAAATAAACGTCTGAAATCTATGACAAAAGCTTTGATTTTATAGAAAGGTTGAAAGAGCTAATAAGTTGTAGTGGGTTAAGATCTTGAAAAACGAGAACACTGATGAAAGCCAAAAGTGCCCAGAAATATTATCAAAACTTGTACCTAACTTGTTACTATAAAATTGAAGTTGAACAAAATTTCTTGGGGTCCGAGTAGAGGAAAACGCATGGCGCTCGACTCTCAGCCGAAAGGCGGCGTTTCGAAACCCGTCCGGAAATTGTACTGAAAGGAGGCAACAGTAGCTGGTATGGTGATATCCCCCCATAGATCGATTTTGTATTTTTTCTATAGTAATCTAACTTCTCGGATTACTGCTATTCAGTTAAAAATTGGGTAAAAATGTCAATTACTAAAAAATGTAGTGTTTAAAATGAAATTGAAAAGTGTACAAAACAGCCATATTAAATTGTTAGTTAATGGGTAAGCATGTGAGTTAGGAAACGTTTCAAAACATGATCATTTATGTAAGCAAAATCAGAAGCATCGCCATTAAAGTTTTTATCATAAATCAAATGTGCAATATAAATGCAAAAAGAACCGCACATGGTAGAGTTTGAGTCTTGCATGGGAAAGTTTGTCATCAATTCAGTCACCTGATGAAAATTCTCGTTCAATCGTTTATACAGATTGGTGTACTGCCAAAGAGGAAGACCGAGAGGATCAGCAAAATATAAAACATTTCTTCTGTTGCAAATTACAATCCAATGTGTCCCCGGAGAATCTGATTTTGAAGTGTTCACAATCATAAAGATATTGTTTGGGATGTGAGGTGGAAAATTGTCCGCTGCAAATACTCCAAGAAACTTATATTTCAGATGTTTACAGTTCTGAATGAGATCCTGCAACTGAATTTCATCCATTTTTAGACGGTCGAAATTGGAAGGACGTTCTTTGTAACTTTGCGGTCGGAGGTAATAAATACATTGGATGAGCGTATACCCCAAACAAAAATTTCAAGGTTTGCTGTCAACGCGTTTGAGAATTGAAGATCGAGTGAAACTGAGCAGTTAGTAAGTTCTGGATGCAAGAAGTCATGAGCTGCCTGCTGTGTGCTAGTGAGATCAAAACACATAATAAAGTGCTGTTGGTAGTTATCCAGAGTGATTCCCAGCCCGCAGTGCAACAAACCTAGCGCTGATAGTGTGTTGAAGAAGAGACGTTTATGATCTTGTGTACTGATTGGTGTACTTGCTATTGGTAAACCGTTCCGTCTCAAGGTAACTTGCTCCAATCCAAACTTTTGATAATGAAAAGGATTCGTTCGGTTTGTTCCTAGAAATGCATTATTTGTGTTCAATGCTATTATAATTTGTCTCACCGGTTCACGAGCAAAAATGTCTTCCTGTTGCCAGCTGCGCTGACCAGCTGTTGCAAGAAATGTTTTTGTAATTTCTTCTTGATATGGGTAGTTCGCAGGAGTTTTGAGCAAAGTTGATTCAATGGCAGAGAGCACATGGTCGGTCACAGTCATTTTTCTAACATATAGGTTCGCTTCGAGTATTTGCAGCTTGTAATGCTTGGCAGCATCTTCCGATATAATGAGAAAGTCTTCATGAGAACGTCTGTAAGAAAGTCTGAGGGTAACACCGCTCAACAAATGCTTGTCACATGTGAAAAAATCAACTCCAGCGGGTCCATAGAACCAAATTTCCCTCGATTCACGGACCAGTTCTCGTTGAGATGTGAAATCAGCTGCATCTATTGCAGCGGGATTGTTTTCAAAACGATATCCCTGACACTTAAGCCATGAATCCTTGGCTCCTTTGCTGTTAGAAAATTCTGTTCCAATAAAGCTTTTATGCGCAAAATTACTATTGGCATTTGAGATTTTGAGTCCATTAGCAGAGAGGGTACAGTCAGAGAAAAGGGAATACAGGGAGTTGTTTACGAGGAACGGTGAATCAGACACAGTAGGATCAGTGTTGTCGTATCGCAGATCAGCTCCATTTGATTGCGTTACTTTGCATCGTATTTCCAAATAAATTTTTTGCAGGTCAACAAAATTATTACGGTCACCGGTGATTTCAAATTCAAGCATTGGTCCATTGGGTGAATAGACAGGTCCAATTTTTTGATCAAAAGCGTTTTCAAAAGTAATCAAAAGAGGTTGTTTTTCAAACAAATCCAGAGAGCTATGGGTAGCTTCATTGGGTAACAAATTAGCGATCATTTTTGATGTTTGAGAAAAAATCTGCT